AGAACCTTTTTCAGTCAGTTACATTTCCTCATGTTTTGATGCCGTTGTCATTACACTCCTTGTTGTCAGTCTCAACATAGGGGCCGAGGAGAGTGAAGTAATGCCTCCCTCGTAAATGATCCTGTCAGGTCAAGGTTGATTCATGCTCGTGAACAGCAATAGAGCAACTTGCCTTGATGCCTGTGCTGTATCCTTCCTGAGGATGAATGAGAGAGTCGAGTTTGTAGGGTAGTTATCTGGCACCTTGTGTTAACAGCAAATTTAATTTTAAAATACAGAAAAGTGGATAAGTGCCAAACTCTGAAAAGAGAGTAAATCTGAACCAACCAAGAATGGACCAGCTCTCCTTAGAGCATCTTATATTGCAAGTGGAAGCCATTGGTAAGCTGGTATGCTGCACATTCACTGTTTTCCCTGATTGGCATTGGCCCGGACCTCCTTGAATACTAATACAGTTGTGTGGATTGTGATGACCATATTGGAAGAGAATGGAAATGGCAAAACCCTGGCATCAGATAATCTGGCTTCTTAATGAGATTTATCTTCCTTATATGTTCTCAATAAATAAATGAATAAAGGTCTAAGTTTTTTTTTTAATGTTCTTCTTCCTGTCTCCTGTCAACAGCCAGCAACCCCAACACGCACAATAGCAGCGACCCCCATTCAGTCACTTCCACAGAGCCAGTCAGCACCAAAGCGAATTGACACTCCCAGCTTGGAGGAGCCCAGTGACCTTGAGGAGCTTGAGCAGTTTGCCAAGACTTTCAAACAAAGACGGATCAAACTTGGATTCACTCAGGTAAAACTGAGCACCTTAGTGCCTCCCCATATTGAGTTAAATCCTTGGCCTTCAAATCTGGAGGGAGAGTACAATAGTACCCCTTCCTAGCAGTGCCTTCTTACATAGAGTTAAGCTCTTGACTTTCTGTAGGGGATTTCTAGGAAAGAACAGAAAAGGCTGAACACATCCTCCTTTCTCCCTTGTTGGTTTTAAAGGGTAGCCATTTTCCCAGCAGGTGCATGCATTTACCAGCTCAGGTTGTCATTGCATGTGCACTGTTCAGTCTACAGGATTTAAAATGAATAGGTCAAAACACTTTAAAAGCTGCCTTCAGAAGTGCAACCTTCTAAAATCATAATAGCATAGTTAACTGTTCTAAGTGTTTATAGAGTGTCAGAATTGTGAAGCTGCTTGGGATGTTGACGGGTTTTTGTCATTCAAACACATTTTCCCATTAAACTTTAGTGGTTCTGTATTTGAGATTTAAGGCTTGTCAAGGTCTCCAAACAAGTGCTGAAATGGCAGAGGTGGATGAAGTCTGATTGTCCCTGGAATAATGTCTAAGTTAAATTCTGTAATGACAAGTTTATTAACCAACTTTTTCTTTCCATCAAGTTCATGTAAGAACACAACTGAAAAGGAAGGGGTTGTGTTATAGTTAAACCAATGAACTAGGTTCCAGGACTCATTATTTCTTAAGAAACAAACTCATTTAAACAAACAAAGGGGAAAAAACACTATACAATCAAGTGTTTTAGATGGTGCTTAAAAGTAAGGATCAGGGAACTGGGAAAAGACTAAGAGAAAGCATGCCCATTACCCTAAGGCTTCCCACAGCAAAAACCCACTTGCCTTCTGACCTAAACCAGGAGGGTGACATCCAACTAGGTGGGTGGTGCAGAGCAGCAGCATACTTTGGGATGAAGTTGAAGAAAGTAATTATGAAAGGTTATTAGATGAAAGGTATAAATTGTAAGTGCAGAATCTGATTGTAGTTTCCATTATCCCCTTGGTAACAGGAGCTGCTGCCTGGAACCAGGAATCCATTCCTGTTTAATATCAAAATTAAATATTTTAATTTTGGAGGAAAAAACAATCTGTCCAGATCAAGAACTCAGGTTGGCAGCACCCTGTTAAACATTGGTGTATTTTGCTAGAAGAAAGAGCAAACAAAAGTCTGAAGTGGATGTTTAAAAAATCTGTCCTCAAAGTAGTCAGTCCAACTTTGTGAGCGCAGGATATAGAAACCCTTCCAGTTGAAAATATGTGCCAAGGTCAGGCGTATTTTTCTGGCAAACTTCTAAATGCCTGAAAAAATCAGGGTTCATAATGGAAGTTCTTGGCAGAGTCTTAATTACAGCTCAGAACAGAACGTACTCAGTAAAATGAAATGCATTTTTTGTTGGCATAGTGTGCCTCTCTCCCTTCCTTCTTTCCACTAGATGGAGGCACTCACATGCTGTGGTGATGAGTGCAATATAAGAGCCAGAATAGAAGAGAATAGTTCCCCTGTAGCCTGATGAAGGGGGCCTTGGTTTGTGCCCATCACCCTTAATTGTGACATTTAGCCTGCCCTGCTGTGCTATTGTGAAATAATTATACAGCAGAAACAAGGGTTTTTTAAGTTAAGGGTTAACTCTCCTTACTGATACTGTCCTGAATTAGTAGTGTGAGGAGGAAAAATGAACACGACAGCTCAAGGATTGCATTTCAGCCTTAGCTTTAAAGTTGTAGTATCAGAAACCATGCGTTATATACAAAGGCAGTTTTTTGTATTACATTTCTCTTCTTAAAAGTATTTTTTCTAGCAAACTTAGAACATGGTAGTTCATCAATCCTTCCTATTCTTTCAGTAAATATGTACATAATTAGGCAGTTCTAATAACTGTTACCTAATTGCGTAATTGGGTAGTAATTAAGGATTCTTATTACTTAGGTTTCCTATAGACACATAATTAAACTGCATGCTCAAGGATAAAAGAAGTTCATTGCCAATAGCACAGCAGGATATTTTCAAACTTGCCAGATTTACTTTGTTTTGTTTTGTTTTAAATAATTATAAGGCTCTTGTTGGCATTACAGATTAATTGCCTAGTCTGTTCCACTTTGGGGTAACGGAACAAACTGGGTTTGCATTTCAGGGGTTTTGGAACCATATTTTAAAATAACTAATAAAAGCAGTTGAACTTCTATTTGTGTGTGTGTGTTTGTTTATTTATTTGTACATTATTAGGAATTTAATTTCCTTAAAGATTATTGTTTGATCTATGCCAAACCCAAATTAAATGTTACGTATGAGTTGGTAATCCTGGAAATTCAGTCAGTGTGTATGAAGACTATGGGGGGAGTGCAGTATTTTGCATATTTTAATATTTTCTGTTAAATGTTACAGTAGCATACAGTCATGTGGATATTAATTATTGATACTTCTCTTCTGGCCTGTTGGTAGTACTGTCATGAAATGAAATTTATTGTAATGTGCTTCATATTTATGGTCACTGGCCTGTGAAATGGCTTCCTCAAATTTGCTGAAAAGAGGCTTTATCCTCCATTTCAGTGATTGGTGACTTTTTGTTTTTCCCCATACATTAATTTCTTCACCTACTTCTGGAGTGCTGCCACCTTTTGGCATGGAAAACCACTTGCAAAGAAATGGTTAACCATCTATTCTGCTTAAATCAAAAAGCAAATATTGGTAGGAAGGATATCAAAGTCAGAGTTGGAATTTGGTCAGGATGCTAGAGAATATCTCAACTTTCACTAGCCTATATACAAATAACACCCATCTCCAAAATAAAGTTTAACTTGTAAGATTTTCTTCTAGAGCCTATATGCAATTCTCTATGAAGTAACCAATGAGCTTCAGAATACACAGAATCATGGGACAGATAGAGGCCATATTTGTAAGGTGTTGCCCAATTTTTCTTCTGCCCAAGTAGCTTGATGAACAATCAGTGATTGTGATCCATCTTTGGAGGGAATTTTTTGTACATGCATTTTTTAACTTAGTTTTTTAAAATCTTTGTTGTTGGTTTGAAAGTAACCCCTATGCATTCCTTTAGTTTGTTGAGACCAGTCTCTGGTAGTAGGGCTGCCTTGGGAGAAAATAAAGCAAGTACTGTTTGCAATCTAGCTATATGGCATATTAAACTGAACTGTGTCCATCATGACCAATCCTCTCAAAGTCTCTTTATACGACCTTTCAAAATTGTTGTAAAATTGTATGGTATGGATGCAAACCACTATTTCTGTAGTATGATACATTTTCTCTAAATGGGATTAAGTTTACACCATGGGCAGCACCTCTGCACTTGCAAAAAGTACTAAGAGACTGTTTTTCAATAACCACAGTCAGGAACTAAATTTTCAAATTAGTTTTAAAAAATGACAACAAGTATATCAGTGCCTTTGAGTGTCTTCAGAGGGAATGCCTTAGTATTAACTAAGGGAATAGGGTATCACCTGCTAAAGAATCAACCATCTGGGGTTTTCCTTGGAGGTCTCTAGTCCAAATAATAATGACACCACTTCCTGTTTAGTTTAATTTGATAACAGCTCACTCCTGAGCGCACAACACATTGAGATCCATATGTATAAATGCAAGTACCAGCAGAATGGTTGAGATGGAGCCAAAAATGAGTTTGGAGAGGTAATAATGCCTTATGTAGAAATGGCAGCAGTTGTCAGGCTTTGGCTATAAGCTTCCTGATTTCCCTTTGACAGATGTGTGATGGTGTTGGAAACCCCATGGTAGTCATTATTGGGAGTAGTTCAACTTTTTTCTTGATTCTAAAATAGAGATTAGATGGAGATGTTTAATGTGAACACGGCAAGATAAAGTTCAGTTGAAACTCAAATGAGCACCTTTTATAATGTCCTTGAAATATGATGGTGGCACATAGCCAAACTTAATCCTTTCACAGTTTGTTGGAAGTTTGACTAGTGACCGGGGGCTAACAGCTCAGTGAATTCAAACGAGACAGCTGAGAACTTTTCTTCCTTGACACTAAGTTGGTATGTGTTCACCTCAGTTCGCAAGAGATCCCTGACCATATATTTTACTAGAGAAAACACTCTTATGATTTAATACTAAGTGGGATGTGGTGCCCAGTAATTTTACTGTTGAGACCAAAGCAAAACACATTGCACCTCTTTGAAACTTAGGAAGTTGAGGATAGGCAAGAATCACATTAATTCATGATTATCTACTTTCTCACAAGTCCTCTTAGCAGTGAGCAAATTTCTGTACACCTGAATTCCTAGTGTGCAATGGGATTACAATGAAAGCACACACATGCCTGCCTGTCTGTCAGCTAGAGCTGTGTGGGGAACAGCAAGGGCTTCTGTAGCAAAGAATCTTATGTTAATGAGTACTTTTTCTTTCTCTCTGTGCAGGGTGATGTTGGGCTCGCTATGGGCAAACTCTATGGAAATGACTTCAGCCAAACTACCATCTCTCGCTTTGAAGCCTTGAACCTCAGCTTTAAGAACATGTGCAAGTTAAAGCCACTTCTGGAAAAGTGGCTTAATGATGCAGGTGAGCAAGTCGGCAGATCTCACAATCCTGCCACAAACCCAGTGGGATCGTAAAAAATACTTTGCTGATCTGTTTGGTTTCAGCCTTACAAGGCTTGTTAATAAAAAGCCTCTGAAACGCTCATATGGGCTCTACAGTCAGTGTCATTGGGTGGAGTGAGGGAAAAGTATATGCCATGCTTTTTAGTGTACATATATGCATATGAATTCTAAACCGTCTAGGTCTTGTAGTTCATAGAGGTGTAATGTGCTATTACTTCAGTCAGCAGTCTTTGTTGCACACAATGTTGCACCTTGCATACACACACTTCCTGTCAGCCCCCTTGCTTGTCCCCTGGGTTTCCTCCCATCTCACCCTGTTTTAGGAACTCTCCACAATCATTCCCTCCATCAAGCTGGGCCTCTGTATATTCTCACCCATGCCCGGGGCTCTCCATGGCCCTTTTCTTCTGCCCATTATTATTTAGGACTGTTCTTTACTGGGAGATAAACCATTTATGGTATCAACATTTCAGCCTCTGTTAAGGCCAATGAATAGAGTTTAGATGGGTTAAGTGTATTACGGGTGTTAATCCATCAGTTATTCGATCTTCAGTCAAACACAAGTCTAGCAGAATCTGATGGTCTTCTATTCAGATGGCAGGGATTCTGCGATTCCCTCATTTTTTAACTTCTGGTTTTTTTTGATTTTCACCAAAGCAATAGGATTCTACATGTTGATGTCCAGTTTGTCCCCTGAAATTTTGGAATTGATCAACTGTGCCGATGAAATGTTATTTCATAATATCCAAACAGGGGAGTTCCATTGAGTTCTTTAGGGCTTTGCATTTGTCTGCCAACATGAAATATCAATAGAAACTTACTGGCCTGGGGACATGAAATTTCTGGGCTTTTGGTGAACATGTTGGTATGTGATATGCCTCCCATTATAGGCCATGAAAAGGCTTTCACTGACTTCAGCTGGAATTAGATTGAAACCTAAGTAGGCACACCTACACAGAGGAACATTATTAGCAACGGCTCATCTATTCTCTGATCATAGGATTTGTCATAGAATTTATTAACTGCTATAGATTTGTCCACCAGAATCTCAACTTTCATTTAAAATAAATACATTTCTGTCCCTTACGATTGCAAAAGTAACCTTGAAAATACAGGCTGAATATATGTGCCCATTTGAATCTGCAAAGAGCCTAGAACAGAAGCACTGAGCAGTGTGGTCTGCCCCACCCATTCATCTCACCCAGGGCCCTGTAAACCCCAGGATTCTGCAGCTGAAATTCAAGTTTCTGTTGCAGCCAGGAGCATGACACTTTCAGTCGCCCTGTCTTAATACGGCCTGTTGCAGCTTCCCTTTGTTCTCTGTCTTTTTCCACAAGGGGAAATCAACTCAGTTTCTATAACCTTCCTTTACTATCTTACAGAACCATGTAGAAGAGAATCAGGGAGGTAAATATCACCTCGCAGCCAGTAGGCAGCCTAGTAAAGATATCAGCTAAGACCTGGGGAGTAAAGTGGATGAACTACTGAAACTAACTACAAACTTCTTCCTTCCCTGAGAGAGGGGAGCAGGGGAAGGCATTCTGTGCTGGTGGGCTTAGACAACAGCACAAGTGTTATAGCTCACAGAACAAGGCTGTCTGGAGATTGTTTAAAAAGAATCATTGGTGAAAATGATCATTTGCCTTGTATCTCAGTTACCATATTTATTCGCATACAAATATACCTTTTCCCCAAATATTAATTCTCCAAAATTAGGGTGCCTATCTTAAGTGAGGAAATGTGATTTCTGTGCTGGAATGGAGGTATGGGGATGCTGGAATGGCTTGTAGAAGCTGTGCTCCCTTCTGGCTGCTTGGAACAGGAGCAGAGTCCATTTGCTGGGTTAATTTGCCCTCCCCTTGCTGTTCAGCTGAAAGCTAGAAATGTAACCCTGCCAAGGCTGCTGCTGAATTGGCAGCAGCGTTTGGCTGTTCATCCATAAGCTACTGCCAGTTTGGCAGTGATTGTGACAGGGTCAAAGGTCTACTTTTTGACTGGGCAGCAAAGGGTGGGCAAGTGACACTGGCAGGTGGATTCTGATCTTGCTCCATGTGACCAGCATTCAGCCATGACTCTGGAAAAAAGTCTTCGTTTTCTTCTTCATTCTGCCTTCCCAAAACAATGCACATCTTACTGGGGGCTTGTGAGACAGTTGGGTGATGTTTCCAACCATGTGCCAGAATAAAATAGGGAGAAAGATGGGAATGAAAGATATTTTATAGAGATGTAATAAACTAACGTTGTTGTGAAGTGCAGGGCATAGACAACAGGCCCTGCACACAGCATGTCCGTTTTAGGTATAATTGGTCATCTCAAGGTTGAATGCTTGTGTTGTGAAGGAACCCTGCTGGGCTTGTAACAAATACAGGGTGCCTTTTGCCTTCTCTCACACAAGTCATTATATATGTGGGATGCTTGCGTTAGGTTGCAGTGCATTGGAATAGCATAATTTCCTGTTGCTTCATGCTCTCTTCTCCTCTTTCAGAAAACCTCTCATCTGATTCAGCTCTCTCCACCCCAAGTGCCCTGAATTCCCCAGGGCTGGGAATCGAGGGCTTAAACCGTAGGAGGAAGAAACGCACCAGCATAGAGACCAACATACGTGTGGCCTTAGAGAAGAGTTTCCTGGAGGTTGGTGAGCCTGTTGTTGTGCCTGGTCCATGTAGAAATAATGGCTTTTCCCAAAAGCGTGCCTCTTGAGAGGAAAGAATTCTCCATTTAGGAGCAACATCAAGTAGACACTGGAAAATGCACATCAAGGGAGATGGAAATATAATCAATATAGTATATTTACGATGCATGTTAAACATATGAGGGTGTTTTAGAAAGTAATGGCAATTCTGAAATAAAACCATTATGTGTGCAGTGAGTGGGAAACTACACAGCAGCAGGGAATGCTGATGGCGACATCTTTTAACAGACCCATCATCTATGACTACATAGAAAAAATGGTATGGTCCAGTAAATGATCATAGCATACAAAATTGTTTTATTTAAAAATTGCCATTACTTTTTGAAATTCCCTCATATTAAAATGTAGTATATTGCGAGTCTGTGTCATTTAATGCGAGTCATGATCATAAGGAACATATTCCACCTGCCAGTAGCTTGGCTTCCCTCAAAACATCCAATATGGTCCACCCTTTCAAAAGCCTTTGATTTTTCCTTACTCAGTGGCACAAAGAATGGTCAGCACAAACACCAATCAGTCACCACATCATTTCTGACCTGACAGTCAGTCAACTAGGATTTAACTGGCCACATCATTATTGGGCACTTCTCAATGGTTTTTTGAACTAGACAGAGTTACTCTGCCTCAGATCTATACCAGTGTGGCCTTCGCAGTGAAAGTAAATGCCCTTGTGGACAAGTTCAAATTATGTCCCACATTGTTGACTTGTGTCCATTCACAATATAACCTGGTGGCCTTCAAGCTCTTCACACTGGTGATGGCATCGCCTTAAGATGGCTGAAACAATATGCCGAAACCACATACAATGAATAAAATAAAAGTCAGGGCTCCTAGCTCTTTTGAATTATATTCTACTGCTTGAATATGTCACAAGTGAGTCCATTACGTGACTAACTGTGTAACATGAACTAAGTTGCATAACCTCTCATACAGTCGGGAAAGTCCACTTGTGTGTTTCACAGACATGACATGAGACGTGATGTTTGTAACGTCGGCTGATTCACATCTGAAAAGCAAAGCGTAAGTTCAAAGTACCATCATTCAGCCATGACTCTGAATACATGTGCTGAAATCTGCAGTTCCTTGGTCTGTGTGCATGTGCATTTGTGTGCTTGTGTATGCACAAGTGCATTAATATGCATGTGTTTTCACCGTAGAAGGGTGAGGAAAATCTGATAAATTGTGGAAAAAGTATATTGCAAAACAGTCACTAAGCATTATTTCAACATAGCCTCATAAAAGCCATACAGAAGCTTAAATTCAAAGCTAAAGTAAGCAATCTTTCAATCTGCTTAGTAAAATGTCTTTACAGGTGAAGGTGGAATCACAAATATTTTTGCCAAGAATTCACCTAATTTTGATACATTAAAAAGTGTCATTTTGTTGGTTCCTGCCAACTTGTTCTCATTAGTTCCTAATTCAAAGATATCAGACAATGGGGTAGGGCCTAATATTGTGTACTGCAAAAAAGAAGAAAAAGGGAGGAGGGGAGATATGTCTCTGCACATAGGAAGGGAGAAAATAACTAAACATCATCCCTGTTCAGGCTTCATTCACTTCATGTAGCTTTTGTAAGGTACTTTGCTGCAGTCTGGTGTGCAGGATGAATCATAATCCAAGTCCCTGCAAAGCAGAAGAGTAATAGGGACGCTTAGAAGAAAGAGTATTGGGGGTACCTGGAGAGAACTGCTAAGGTGACGCACTTGGCTACTGGCAGCCACGAAGAAAAAAAGGTCTACTTCATTTGAAAGAAACCTCAAGAGTTGAGGATGCCACATGGGAGACATCCTGTCCATCTGAGATGCCAGGACCGTGGATGAGGTCTATAAAGGCCATAACACAGGTGTATCTGAATCCTGTTTCTGCTTAATTCATCCCTCACAACATTTGCTTTGATAAATCAGAAGACATATGGCTTGGGGTCAGCTTATCTCTTCCTCCTGTTCTTTAGCTTACAAAGCTGCTGGAGGACTTGTAATGCACATACCAGAGTGTCATTTCCATGCTTTTTGAATACTGTTTCTCTTTTTCAGAACCAAAAGCCTACCTCGGAGGAGATCACCATGATAGCTGACCAGCTAAACATGGAGAAGGAGGTGATCCGCGTTTGGTTCTGTAACCGACGCCAGAAGGAGAAAAGGATCAACCCACCCAGTAGTGGTGGAACCAGCAGCTCGCCCATCAAAGCAATTTTCCCTTGCCCAACCTCACTGGTAAGAATCAAGAAGCTGAGGAGGCATGCCATAAGGGGAAGAGGCTACTTAATCCTCACTTCGTAGCAACAGTAGGAATTGCATACACCTCACCTACTTTGTGCAAAACATTTAGAAGCACAGATTTACTCCGTGTTCTTGCATGGGATTTTAAATGCCATATTTATATGCTGAAAAAAGATAAAGGTGGCAAATCCACGCATTCTAAGACCCCAAATCCTTAAACTGAACCCCTGATTTAATTTGGCAATAATTAATAGCCAGCTAAATATGTAAGGCAACTACATTTTGTATCACTACTTTAAACAGATGCTAAGGGATCAAAATTCATGTTTGTATTTTATTTCCAGATTGGCTGACTCACCCAAGCCCTTTCTGTAAGGGAAAAATGTTAACTTATTCCCACCCCATCCATCTTGTTCAGCCACATCACTGCTTTTCATCAATAGTAGATTCTATCTGCTCTTAGGCAGTAGTTTGCAGACTGTCATCCAAATATAGCTCTACTACTTTTTGTCCCTTTTGGCCAGGGATGACTTATGTCAAGGTGGGAAAAGAGCTTAAGTAATCTTTGTATCTCATTTTCAAAACTTGTGTCTGCCCAAGGTACATCCAAATTTACTGAACACATGGGTAACAAAATGGACACATCAAGTATCTTCTATTTCTCCACTACCGTTGTTAAAGACAGTCTGTTTTTTTCTGGAGAATGGTTGTTGCCATTGCTGCTACTGCTAAAATTAAACACATCTGGATTCTTTGTAGCCTAAAGCTGTACTGTATAGGTTCTGCCCTCACCACTGTGGACTCTGAGTGCCTTCTAATATATTGTATTAAATAACATAACTAGCATTGGCTATGTCCTCTCATCAGGGAAATAATTGTGCACATTAGTGTTTGGGTTATACATTTAAAAAAAGATGCCCTAATGTGTTTTTAGAAGAGAGGGTAAGATTGTAGAAGTTGTTCTTGCCCTGAGGGAACGCAGTGGTGAGGTTTATGATGGCTTATAGTTCCTCAGTACACCTAAAACCTTCAGTGCCCTAAAACCCATGTCCTACCCAGAAAAATTAAGACTTTTGTGGTATAAAATTCTATTATGCTGAGAAACTTGAGTTGATCATGTACACATGCTAGGTCTGTGCCATGGACTGCCTTGAAAATAAGGATTGGGACCTTGGCTTGATGGGTCTGTGTGATGGAAACAAGCATAGAGCATGGGACAGGTTTGATATGCTCATAATAGCTGGCGTTGTTTTGAGGCACACTGCAAATCTAGTTTTTTGTGTTCATAGAACATTTCTTAAAAGCTGCTCTATCCTACTCCATCCCTCTCCATGTTTCAAATGTAACAAACAAGGGAGTTTATTACTTCCTTTAAGAGAATATGCAGTAGCAATTCAGGGGGCTGTTCATCTCACTGTGGTTAGTGCTCTTTTTTTTTTAAATACTTCAGATGTTATGTATGTCCATTCCAACACTGTTCTGTGCTTATGGACAGCACATCTTAGATGCACATATGCTTTTTAATCCTTGAACTGCATGTTTTGTTTTTAATCTTTTCTTGTAAGTTGGTTCCTTCAGCCCTTTACTCTTGGTGGTATTTCTCTGAACTTCTTCCAGTTTATATGCAGCTTGCCTCTATTAAGATGCTAGTTTCATTTGAAAGCCCTGAACTCAGAGGTCCGTTAAATGAAGGAAATGCACCAAAGTGAAGTTTGGTCAAGGAAAGGTAAAACGTGCTACATATGCAATGATAAAACACCCAGAAAAGAGAGTAGGATAATACGTAGTGGTGCATGGAAGGTATTCAAGCTATAAGGCTTTGGCTTTGGGTCTGCCTTCACTTCTACCATCTGGGTCCTGTTCCAGGATATCTCAAGCCTCCCAAAAGTGAACGGCGTGCTTTGCCTTGTGTGCAGATGCATCCAGCAGGTTAGTCCCCTTTCTGGAATGTGCTGTACCCTCACCATCAAGTCACGGCTCCACACATTGCACCATTGCCTGACAGGCAGGTTAGACCCTATCCCTAACCCTCCCATCAGCATCGGCCTTAATCGTCAGCCCTCCAGTCAAAGTGTGATGGGTATTCTAACTGTCTCTGTGAGCAGTGAGAACAACATCCAGAAGCTGATAGACTGTCAGCGCACCTATGAACATATCTCCTCAGCCTGCGTTAACTGGGCTGAAAGTAATACCTTTCTGCTGGGCATCTGTGATATTTTAAAGGTGCTGGAGGTCTTCCTGAGCACACCTTTATATTTGGCCCAGAACTTGGAAAGCCTCATTGAGGAGTTCAAGGAGCAGCTACAGTGGCAGTGCTGGCACCTGCTCAGCCTGTCTTACTGCAGCTGAGTCCTGATCTATTAACAATTTGATGGCTCTTGCCCTGAGGTACGGGCTTGGTGCCCAGGGCTCACGTTCATCCCTGCTCCAGAAGCTCCTTGTAGTCTTATTCTGGGATGGGTACCACTGGGTCCAGTGGGCTGTCCTCCATCTGCCCACCACCAGGAGCGTCAGCGCCTAACTGATCTCGTGAGAAGGGTGTCTGTTTTCCACTTATAGGCCCTTAAGCAACTGCTCTTTGCTGGTGAACTATTCCCCTGGTGCCAGCTAGCCTGCTCATTTCTATACTGTGTGGCCTTAGCTGCAGCCAAGAGCTGTTCCTCTTGGATCCCAACTGCCTCAGTGGGGACGCCCTCCTTCCTTTCTGCTGTGGCCTTGCCTGGCCCTGGCAGGTCTCTTTCTGCCTTAGACCCCAAGCCAGGCACCTTAGTTTTCCCTGAGATGCTATGGGAGCTATTGGTCCAAAACCTGACTTTGCATTGACAATGCCAAGCTGAGTTTCAGAAAGCCTCGTGGTCAACTTGGTCTCGTCACAAACCATCAAGTTTGTCCACCTCCTTGATCTAGTACAGTCTGCCTGGCTCCTGGCTGGGCCTGGACTACATCTGCCTGGCTGCTCACCTCCTGGCCAAAGTGAAAGCAGCCCTCCCTGAGGATGCTGTAGCTGCCCTGGAGGATAACCTCAGCCTGTAGCAAGCCCTCCCGACCATCTCTGTGGACATACCAACTTTGTTGTTGCCTGTCGTCCCAGCTGTGGACAGTGAGGAGAGTGGTGTGCCTGCCACTCTGTTGTCTCTCCCAGTGCCTGAGGGGAGTGTGTATGTTGGAGTTTCTGCTTCGAGCATCTCTCTTGAAAGGCGCTATATATGTGAGTTGTCCAGGTGCTTGCATCCTTGCACCTGTCCTGATGCTGCCTAGAGGCAGCACCTGGTGGCAGTGATGCTGAGGCAAGTGTGCTCAGCCTGGTGCACTCTGTACAAGTGCCCATCCAGTGGCACCTGCTGCAAGGGCCCTAGCCACTGATACCTTTATCTGCCACCTGGCAGCATTGGCAGCCTTCCCCTTTTGCAAGGAGGAGGTGAAGACCCTCTACCATATGTGTGTTGACTGCCTCTGGCTGCAGCTGCTCTTTGCGACTCTATCGCCCTCTTTGTTGTGCTGGGCTTAGATTTCAGTGAAATGGCATACATCTTTTCAGTCCTGTACTGGGCTGCTGAGAGAATGTAATCTTCCTGGCTTACTTCCTCCTGGGGCAGGCTAAGACAGCTGCAGTGAAGAGCTGCCAGAACTGACTTGCCAGAAAGGACACCCTCCTTCTTCAATTCCTCATAGTACCTTTGAGTTTTGGCACTCTGTCCTAAAGTAAAACCTGGACCCGTTTGTGTCCTACTGGGCCACTAAGGGGTTCCTATGTACAGTGGAAGAGGGCCAGCTGGTCTTTAAAGTGTGGTCGCGAGTGTGTGGGAATAGGGGAGGTTTAAAGTTTCCTTCATGGTCATGTTATCTAATTGTTCTTGGGTTATTGCTTGTCACTCCTAGCCCCGCGTGAGTTTCCATCATTTTAAATGGCTGCTCTTAACTGGTTGTGTGCTGCCTTTTCTACTTCTACTTGAAAGGTCCAAAGAGTCTCTGTCAGGGTGTGGTGATATAAGCCAAAACATTTTCTGTTGAAATAGCAAGGCATTAGAATTTAATAGAAATGTATTTGTGTAGTATTTCCCCTGATACCCTCTTCAGTTGATGATGGAAAGAAAGAAACTCAACTTTGGTAACTAACCCTGAAGCATTTTTTTTGCTCTCAGAACCTGAGCAGTTATGTTCCTTTCTGACCTCCAGGTGGCAACCACGCCAAGCCTTGTGACAAGCAGTGCAGCTACTACCCTGACTGTCAACCCTGTGCTCCCTCTGACCAGTGCTGCTGTAACTAGTCTGTCAGTCGCAGGTAAGAGACACCCCACAGCAGCAACTCATAAACTCCCAGCAGCCAGCGATTAAACAATTTGTGTGATAGTTTTGTCCAGTAGTGCTGTGTACCTATCAAGCAAGTAGCATATTGTTTAAGGAAAACAATATTGTACCAGATTTCATATACTCCAGCATTGTATTGTCATTTGACAGATGCTAGGACTTGTTGGATTCTGTTGCTTAACTTCCATCCAGAACTCACTTGTCGAGTTTCTGTACCCCGTGCCAAATAGCATGAGTTGGGAGGTCTCAGATATGCTCAGTTAAAGTCGTGTATGTATACATTTGTGGCTTAAGCACACACATCCACAAAACAATACAGAAAATGTCCCTTTAGTTCTCTATTCAAAGATTTGATTCAACTCCAGACTGATCAACTTTCTCTGACCCCACTCTCACCTGACGCTTCTTAATTTTTCTTGTTGTTATGCAGTATCATCATCATCCACATCAGTAGCATTAATGGTATAGTGGAGGTCAATGCAAGCTCCCCCAACATGGTCCTGCCATCATGCCTGTGTTCAATAATTTAGTCTTTGTGACTCTCCAATATGTCTTTAGCTGCAACGCAAGTGTAAAAAAGTATACCTTAGAAGTAAAAGGCACTATTTTCCATTGACAGCCTACTGAACCACCCAGCCTCTTTGTGAAGAGCCATTTTAATTACAGTTCAAGATCCATGTGCACTAGTCCATCTCTCTTTAGAACTTACCATATTTACCCAACCCAAGATGACCCTGAATTTAAGACAGCCCCCAAATAATTAGATTCTGTACATGGAAAAATGATATATTTGTTATTATTTTCTATGTCTGGAACCTAAACTAACAGAGGAAGTCGTCTTAAAGTTGTGCCCCACTTCCCAGCCCTGCTCCAGAGAGGAAAACGGGGAAGGGCATGGCATGAGGACAGATAGTGTGAGAGTTGAGCAGCTTAACCCCTACCCTTTGTTCCCCCATGCAATTTGACCCTTGCCACCTAAGCTTCCCCCCCCCCAACTTGCTTCCTCTGCTGGATTCCCCCCCTCCCCCATGCCTGCACGTCCTGGCACTTGCTACTTGCTGCGTCCCCCACCTGCTCAGGTTGGGGGGGACATTGCATAGGCAGCTGGGGGTAGGCAACAGCTGTGGGTCTGATTCTGGATCAGGGCTGGAGCCACAGCCATAACAGGCACCTGTTGTTCCCACAACCACCTTGTACTCTAATCCAAGACAAAGGGATTTTTTTCTTTTTATTAAATGGGTGGGAGGTTGTCTTGGACTTGAGTAAATATGGTACTGTGCTCTTCAGTCCCACAGCGACTTAAATTTGTTCCACTTAATCTTACCTCTGCTGTCCAGTCCAGGTGCTAAAGACTTCTGCTCAGGTGTGTGTCTGCTTTCTACTCTTCTAACTAGAATGTGCTTTCCAGGCACAACAGAAACCACCTCTAACAACACGGCAACCGTAATTTCTACAGCACCTCCGGCTTCCTCGGCTGTGACATCACCCTCTCTGAGTCCTTCCCCTTCTGCCTCAGCCTCCACTTCAGAGGCATCTAGTGCCAGTGAGACCAGCACAACACAGACAACCTCTGCTCCCTTGTCCTCCCCTCTTGGGACCAGCCAGGTGATGGTGACGGCATCAGGGTTGCAAACAGCGGCAGCAGCCGCATTACAAGGAGCTGCACAGTTGCCCGCAAATGCGAGTCTCGCTGCCATGGCTGCTGCAGCGGGACTAAATCCAGGCTTGATGGCACCCTCACAGTTTGCAGCTGGGTAAGGATGGTCTGTTGTGCACTTGTAAGACGAATGAAAATAGGAATCCCCATTTCGTAATAGAATGCGTAGTACTTGTAGTATCTAAGACACTCACAGTATTTTTACAAAAAACTAATACATTAAGCCTTGCAGCACTCCAATGTAGTGAATAGAAATGATCCATTTTAAAGATGAGGATGTTGAGGCCCAGGAAGATTAAATGACTTAGAAAGCCAGTGGCAGAGCTGAGCATAAAACCAAGGAGAGCTCTGACTCATCATGCATGGCTAAATCATAGCACCTACTGTACTGTTAACTGTAGGCAAATAGAATAAATCCCCTTCACTCTTCTGCATTTATTTTTTCTTGTCGGGACCCAGGTTGATATGGAGGGCACCTGAATTTTTATCGGAAACCAATCTGTCACAGCACTTGGATTAAAAAATAGTACTGTAAGAGTAGCTTTACAGTTCCTTGAGGATTTTATTAATTTCCTTTTGCTCTGAAGTAGTGAGGTGGTGATGATTATTCTGTAAAAATGTTGTAGTCGCTTTGAGCCTAACTTGCACCAGCACCACACTAACTTGTGCAGTTGGGATGCCTGTATTTTCAAGCCTCTTGTTCAACACAATGTTGAAAGGCAACTATGAAGGAGCTATTCAAGGCTGCATTTTTCTGTGAGAAATTCTGATATTACAGGAAAAGTTATAAAATGAGACTCCTGAATTCTGCTCTCTTACCTTCCCCTTTTTCTTTTATATGGTGGTGTATGTCTGAACAGTGGACTGGTCTTACCTGAAATTAATAGTTCCTCCCCATGTCTTTGTCTCCTCTCCTATTGTCTCAATATTGCAGAGGTGCCTTACTCAGTCTCAATCCAGGGACATTAGGCAGTGCTCTCAGCCCAGCTCTGATGAGCAACAGCACACTGGCAACTATTCAAGGTCAGTAACATTTCTTCTGTGGGTGCATTTCTGAGTTAAAAAAGCTGGGTTGTCTGTGTATTTTGCTAACAGAGAGAGATAGAGCTCTTATTCCTCCATGCCAAAAGTCAGCATTCAGGCTTTACACAGTAGATCTGTACACTCTGTGATTTGTTCTGTGCCTCAGTTATAAATGGTAAGAGATGATTTGGAAGTGCAGTTAGGACAGTATGTAGCCTCTTAGGGATTTAGAAAGGGAGTTGGTGGGCATGGAGGTATCATCTGTCATAACACATTTAGATATCTGCTTTTTCTACAGCTTTTTTGTCAGAAGCTTGAATTGTATTAAGACCTGTTGCAGGGCATTTCAAAGAGCAAGCCACCTCAGTGCAAAGATCCAATGTTAAGACTTTAAAAATGGGCCCATAGAGTAACTGTTGTCAACACATCCAGAATTTAAAAAGCCATGCTCAAAGCAGTGTTGCCTTGTAATGGCTCCATGTGCATGCACGTTCTATCCTTTCCACTGCTGTGTCCCTTGAGCCGTATGTCTTCCCTGGCCAGTAAAATGGAGTGTGGGTTCCCATTAGGGTCTTCAACCAAAATGTTTTGAAATGGTTAGAAAGACTCGCTTAGATTTTAGTTGATTTTTTAGATCAAATGCACTGCAGCCATAGCAGCCCCTGCAGAATCTTATTATACATTGGTCCTAGGGAACTTTTTCATCATAAATGCTGTCTTCTGTTTTGAGATGACAACTTGGTGGACAGTTTGAACAGGAGGTCAGCAATATTTCATTGGTGAAAAATAACTCAGTGTAAACTTATGCTTTTTGAGTACATTTAGATGGGAAATACTGAGTAAATTCAGATGAGAGAGCCTACAGTCTATATTTTTTAATGTAAAAATCACCCAGAGATGCTCCTCTTAAATTTTATTCATGGATAGGAACTTTATATATTTTTATCACTTTACAAAAATTAAAACCAGCTTCTGCTTAGCTTCAGCTGCTCAGCTTTTGCCAGCCAAAACCCAACTCAGTGGCAACTGGAACTGCTCTGGGTAGTGTGAAGTGGTGCTCCAAAGATATCAGGTACTACACGGTTGAATTGTGGCACATGCTTGCACAGTTACTTCACTTCACCTGCCTTAGGTTGACCACATGCAATCCCATAAAATAGGTCCCGTCTCCTCGGAAGCAGATGAAAAAGATTTTTGCAGATTATTTAAAAATTAGCCTTAGGGTTATATGTAAAATACAGATGTCACTGTTTGCATATAACTCATTAAAATGTTACTTCAGAACAGTACTGTTGCTTTGTTTTTGTTTTTACATGGCAAAGCCTCTGGTTTCCTTAGAGATAAGGAAATATGCTGGGGAGATGTAAACAATGATGAATGGGGGAGGAAACCCCCTCTCTCCTTCCCATAATTTGGGAATATTGAGGGGCTTCTCCCTCTTGCATTCTTATCTCTGCCAGCCTCAATAACCCCATGTCCCAGTTTAAAGCAATTTTGAGTCTTCTTATGATTGGGTGAAGTAAGAGGAAGGAATCTGTAGAGGAAAAGAGTACTGTTGTCATAGGAGGGAAATCTAGAGAGTTGTTGCACTTGCCACATTATTTTTTGCTGTTAATGCTGATGTCTCCTCCCTGCCTGGTTTTCCTTTTATAGCTCTTGCATCTGGTGGCTCTCTTCCAATAACATCACTGGATGCAACTGGGAACTTGGTATTTGCCAATGCTGGAGGTACTCCTAACATCGTAACTGCCCCTCTGTTCCTGAACCCTCAGAATCTTTCTCTGCTCACCAGCAACCCTGTTAGCTTGGTCTCTGCAGCTGCAGCCTCCGCAGGGGCCTCTGGACCAGTCGCCAGCCTTCATGCCACCTCCACCTCAGCTGAGTCCATCCAGAACTCTCTTTTCACGGTGGCCTCCGCCAGCGGGGCCACTTCCACCACCACTACTGCCTCCAAGGCACAGTGAGCCGGGCTGAGCTGTGCTGCTACCAGCCTGTTTCACTCTGCAGTGGGATTGGCTGCCAGCTGGGTTTATGAACTGAAAAATGTGATTGGCTTCCTCTCGCCATGTTGCTGGGGACAAGGGAGAGAAGGAAAATTATCAAAACAAAAGCAAAACAGGAAGGATATAAAGCTGGGACAGACATTTGCCTAATTTTATAATAAACACTGTCTTTTCAGGACCGCTTCATGGATTGGAGAACTTTCTAACCAAAAATGTAAAAAAACAAAAAACAAAAAAACAAAAAAAAAACAAAAAAACAAAAAACAAAAAAAGTGAAAGGACTACTTATCATTTCCAGCAGTCACAATGACAAGTTAAGGTGGGTTATCAACTCAGACATAGAAAGGGGATTTCTCATTTCTTTTTGGTCTAAATAAATAAATATCTTTTCTTTTTTTTTTTTTTTTAATTATCATTTTATAGGTCTGTTGTACAGGCCATTATGTCATACAAGGTGTTTATAATCGTATCAATCATGTTGGGGGTTCCTTTCTTAACTGGTACAATTTAGGCAGGCCTGTATTACTGGTGTATCTCTATTATTATGATGATGATGATTATTATTATTATTATTTTTATATATATAGTTTGGACGCGTTTGTCTTTGCTCCTGGATCATTTTCGGTGAGCTCCCATGCCACAGCGGGAGGGTGGAGAGGAGAGACAAAGAGACTTTCTGTCCTAATCTCCTAAGGATGTTTTGTATGACTTCCTCATCCTTGAACTTGATTTATATGGTGACTTTTACAGAGGGATTGGACACGTTTGTTTTTATCACCTAAGCAGAAAGCTCAGTGTAGAGGCAGAGAGTGATGTGTGCAAATCTCCAAGCTAATCTGCTCTTTACTTCTGTATTTCAGTTCTCTTTCACTCAGTTGCTTTGGCAGAGTGCATAGATTTTGATCTGACTTGTCTGGGCACAGCACCTTTTGTTTTCACAGGGTAAGATTTGGCCCTCCACGTCCAGATTATTTCTAGTACACAATGGTGGTTCTCCTGTTTCATTGTTTTCAATTTGCCCTTTTAAAAAGCAAAAGTATTCTAAAGACAAAAAGTTGCCTGTGGACACCAATATTGGTAATAGAGAGAGGCATCCACAGTCCAAATTACCCACCAGCTGGACTTGGTACAGGACTTTGAAAGGTCAGATTGGCTTATTTCATCATAGCAATATTACTTTTCAGGTGTTTCTAATGTTTGGGGACTTTTCCATTGGGAAGTGCTTCTGTCTACAAGAATAAAAATTGAGGCTACTGGAACAAAGGCTGCCATCTTTTATGCCAATACATTTGTGAGAAAGCAGTCTTGTGTTCCTTGCTACCCTCCCCTGTTCTGTTTTAACTAGCTTATAGATTGCTTTCTCTACCACCTGATTTGGTGCCTTGGAAAAAGGAAGATGTAAGCAGTCAGGTGGAAAGGCCATCCTGTTACAGTGGATGGTACTGATCTGCCTAGTTGATGTTGGGGCTTTGCACACATCTTGATATTCTGATGTGGTCTCTGAGCAGTGATGCTGCTAGCTAGATCAGAATGGCAATAAGTATCTCTGACTATAGTCAGGGTTGGCCTGCCACTGTAGCTACCTTCCAGGGTTGTTTCCAGTCCATGTAGCAAGGAACATTTTAGGAATGGAGAGTTGAAGAGAATGGATGAGGAAAAGCAGTTGATTATACAGAAGTCGGCTCTGTATATTCTTTGATATATCGGTCTAGTACCTAAACCAAAAAGACTTCTAATAAGAGAAGACTGGATCACTGCAATGTGGTTCACTTTGAACTTTCCATTCCTGTTGGATTTAAAGGTTTCTGCCACATACGTCAAACAAAATTGTCCTTAGCTAGAGAAGGTGTTCCAGCAGCCCCTGCCCCTCTTTTGGTCACCACCGAGTTCCAAGATAGTGGGTTCAGTTAGTTATGTTGGTCTTGTTGGTGGTCCCGGAGCATCTTGGAATCTCTTATAAATTGAGATCAAGCATGCAGCATCTTAAAACCTGTGTGCACTTTTGTTTGTGACCCAAGTGCATGGGATTTACATTTGCACTCAGATGGCAGAAACCTTTATTTCTTCATCCCCTCCCTCGTGGTCTTGATCTGCTCACCTCTGACTCTCCACCTTCCCGATTCACAGACTATTTAAAACAATTATCCCTAATACTTCAAAACTAGTGAACTGCAAGCAGGGAAACTAACAAATGTCCGTCCACCGTTTTTAATGTTTTTGATTTTTTTTTTTATGTTTTATTTTTTTAAAAACTAAGCTTGAACCAAAGTCAATTTCTAGCAAGCTGCTGTACTAATGGACTAGTTTGTATAAGTGCAGTTCAAACGCAGAGAGGCGATAGATGCTACTGACAATTTCTTTTTCATTTGTCTTTTTTTATTATTAATTTTATATAAAAATTGCTGCTTGTTTTAACGTTTTTTGGTTGGTCGGTTGGTAATTTGTATTATCCTTGGGGCAGACTCTTAACTTGATTTTTTTTTTTAACTAGTTTCTTTTGTTTGGTTTGCCATTCTATTTACAATGTCAGGGGATTACTAATCCAACAGGTCCCCCAACCCTCACCCCACCGGTTTGGATAGATCTAGATATTCTGGTGTGTCTGGTGTCTCTGTGACTTCAGTCTGTGCAGAAGATTTTAGGGCTATAATTAATACTGCATGGATATAAATTGCCCATAGTAACGGCTTTGGAGTGGTAGAAGGTACAGATGGGTAAGATTCAGGGAGGCAGGGGAAAAGTGGAAGAGGAGATGTTGGTACCCACTATGTTTGGTCTCGAGACCATAATATTGACTACAGTTTTTACCAAAGGAAATATCAGTCCCCTGGGACTTGTGTTCAGTGAAGTAAGAGGGTGGGGAAAGCTGCAACTGTAATGTGTGTACTTAGGTCTGAAAATTCCCACTCGCCACCACGCACGCTCAAAAGTAAAATTTACCAAGAAGCGTATTGCTAATGGGCATGCTAACGATCATTGCACCATTGTATCCTCTGTTCCCTATTGGATTTGGGACAGGGTGGGGGGAAGAGGTGGCCCTATTCATTTATCCAGGAAATTCAAAGAATGTGGGCCTTAAATCAGCATCAGAACTTCTCTTCATGGATCAAAAGGTCTGTGCCATCAGCTGTCAGGGTGGTTTTCCACTTCCCATTCTTGCGGTTTTGTGGTTGAGAGAGGGTCTCGATAAGTACGTATCTGGAACACTAATGCAGCTGGGATGGTTATTTATTATAAAAATCTGCTTTTTTCCTGGCTACCTTTGCATTGGTCGCATGACTTCTGGTGCGAGCACCTTAAACCCTCCCTTCTTTCCTCCCTCCTTCATCCTTGTACTACCCAGACCTCCTCTGTGGGGCCCAGACTCCAGGGAGCTTCTTAAATGACCTTTTCCTGAGAGAAAGCAGAGACTCAGAGTAGCCATTTGCCCACGGTGAGTTGGTTGAAATGCTTTCTTTTTACTCTGAACACCTGATTGTAAATTGACCCAAACACCACACCGTCCTCTCCCAGCTTGGCTCAAACTTGTCAGTGGCTGGTTGTAGTGCCGTCCTCCTGTTGATCTGCTTAGACCCTGCTTCTCATTGATATACTGTTTCCTTTTGTTGATGTTGGTCACCTTTAGTATTTTAGCTAAGGGACAAAGCCTAAGAACCCAGAGGTGAGGTTCACATCAGTTCCAAACCGTGCATCTACCTGGTAAGACTGAATATGCACAGCATTTCTGAGTTTGAGAGGCATACGTAATAAGTTACTGGAGTTTAGTGGAAGTTGCTGTTTTAAAACCATAATTATGATTACAGCAGAAATAGAAGCATATAGATGGAGTTTCTGTAGCAATTGTACAAGGGCCCAGAGGCTGAGACTCTGTTTCTAAGGACGTCAGGATTAGTAAAGAAGTGTTAATCCCATATCTTAAAATATTGGCAGACAGACCCAGAACGTTAGTTTCCAATAGTGGTGTTTTTCCACTCCAAAGAGTGGAGTTTACTTTAATTCAAAAAGAAATCATAGCTTTTATTATTTCTGAGGACAGTGAATTCAGTAGGACTTCCCCACCTTCCCTTGATATACTCTCTAACTCTTGTGTTGATCATATTGTATAGGTTGCACCAGCACAAATTCCCTAAAATTGCCTTGCACATCCCAGGGGCATTTAATAGTTATCCAGGGCATCTTACCCATGACAACTCTCCAGATCTCCATGTTTGTATAGATGGGGCTCATTTTCACATTTGCAAGCATGACAAAGAACAGGTTAAAAAATTGGGCAGAAGGATTCACTTCATGGCCCAAGGGCAGTTAAGATCTCTATATAAATTCATAGGTGGAGGAAAGGCGCATAAAACAATAGGAGTAATGACTGTTTCCTGAGGTCTGGAGAAGGGGAGGATGAGGAATTTTTTTCCGATTGAGGCTCAGAGAACTAATAATGAATTTTGGTCTTGGGAGAAGTCATTCAAGTTTTGGTTTGGATGCCGCTAAACCACTTACAGTTCACTGGCCCCTTAATATAACTTATCTGATGGGCAGCCTGTCTTCTGTTTATATACTGTTACACGCTCACGTACAGTTAGTGCTGCTTATAAGATCTATGTATGCGTTTGGCATAAGGTAAGACCCCCATGTAAACCAGTGAAAGAGAAGTTTCACTAGTTCCTCAGATGAATTTGTCATCTAGTATGTATGCACGCGTACATATACATAGTTAATGCTGAGACAGCTTAATACCCATCTGAACAAAATATTCAGATGGGTATTAGGGTAATAGACCTGTCAGGCCTGTAGCTTAGAGTCAGGGTAGCTTATGTTTGTTTATTTTCCTGGGTAACTTGTGCCAATGCACATTTGCCCCAGTACTTACTAAAATAAATAGTCTGCCTTCAAGAAGTAAAGCCTCACAAATTAATTCAAAGCCAAATCAGGCTGAGAAAAGGCCACTGTGCCATAGAGTCCATAAAACCTGGGCCCTGGGGAGCACGCTGCTAAGGTAGGCAGTACTCATCTGAGAACGTGCTGCTGCTGTTCCTGAGCAGCTGCTCCACTAGCAAGACCATCCAGGCAGATGATAACGGACATGCCAGAGCACAGCAAGCAGCACCACACCTAGACTCCTGGTGACCCCAGACAAACTTTTGGTATCAGGCCTCCCTTTGCCAAATATAATGATGGTAATAAAAAAATTACCATTTTTGGCCCCCCTTTCTGTCTGGGCTCCAGGAGGCCACCCAGTTTGCCCATGCCTGTGTCCAGCCCTGACGGTGAGAGAGGCTTGCTGCAGAGTAATCTGAGTCACAGACCTTGGAAGACTCGAAAAACTGCAACTTTCCTTTTCCCTTTCAGTTGGAAGGGAGCCTGCTGTTATGCCCATTTAACAGTGACGTTTTTAGTGAAAACACTCAGGAAATCTGTAACAATGCATTGGTTGACTTGTTTTGCAATGTGGTTTCCCCTGGGGTTACTATAACTTGATATTTACCTTAACACAGCTAAGTATCTGTTCTACCTTTTCCATTTGTTAAGAAAAATGGTGGAGCTCTCACGTTGCACTGTATCGCGCTGCCTCTCATCCGTTGCCCCCTTTCTGATCTTCCCTCTTCAGAGCTTTAAGAGGATATTGCTCTATACTGGAGATTTTGTCTTTCTTTAATATCCCTCAGAGTCATTGACATCTCTGTAACAGACATTTTAACAAGAATATTAGCTTATTCCTCTCTCTCATAAAAATAGTCTATCAGTAGATGCTCAGGGAGCAGCATGACAGCTCTTACCAAAATACGTCTGAGAGAACTCTCCATGCCACTCACCAAAGCATTGTTCCAGGTGGACAATAGCTGACTCTTTTCTTTGAGGTTGAAATGAAATGCGCATATTCAGTCTTACCTTCAGTTGTGACCACTGTAAAAACAAGTAGCTAGTAGTGGAGAGCTGTTTTGGATGTGGGAGCCACTCTTCTTTAAATAGAAGATACCCTGCAGTCCATGTTGGCTTGTTACGGTTCTCCTGTTGGAAGGGTTGAAGGAGCCATTGTACTTATTCCTCAGCTCTGATGTATATCCCTGGCATAGAATAACATTGAATTTAAAAAGAGAGGGCTGTTTCTTGCTTGTAAAGGAGACTTCAATTTACCTTGTTTGTCAACGGTTAATATTTTGCTAAACATGCCAAACAGAAACTTGACACCACATCCTTAATAGAATAAATAGCTGGTTTTGGCCATGTAGTGGAAGTGGAACAGACTAAACATGGTATCTTATCCAAGCTATTGATAATGTGCTTCTAAACTAGTCCAGTCTGTAAGTGCCAGCTTGTTCAGTTCATTCTGTTTTAAGGCTAGTTTTTCATCTTCTTGCAAAACAATAGAACTGAGTTTATCTACAATTCATGTATGTGTGTATCCACACACTATGCAAACACAGAGATTATGGAAAGAAAAAGGCTTACATCCTTTTTATTCATGATTATCCATCCGTAACCAGCCTGCTTAAGACTTCTTAGCCAATTACAACAACATACGTGACCTCCAAAAGTGGCTGACGTGTGGTTTCACTTAGTGTGGCTGCACAGGTTCTTCTCCCAAAAGTAGCCCCCTTGAGTTCCCGTAGATGTCAAGAAGTCTTCAGTAGAAGTTGGATCAGAGCCTACCAAAGTTAAAAGATGTTGGGGAAAATGGTTCCCCAGCCTTGTGAAACACTTTACGAGCACGTTTGTCTAAGGCGATCTCACTCCTTTTATGTATTGTAGTTTAGAGGTAAACATTGCATGTCCTTGCTTGTCACATGCCCTGACCTAATGCAAGTCTGTTGTTTGACTTGGTTTTCAAGTTATTAAGGTGCTTGTTATAGTTTTTGCCACATGTTCAGACCAAGGTCCAATTCCCCAAACCTTAATCAAAACTGGTTTCAGTGCAGTGAAAGAAAGGAAGTGCATGGACCCCCATATTGGTACACACACATACCCACACATTAAAACACGATTGACCTTTCCTTGCTTTTATCATCAATTGGGAGGAGGAATGGAATAATTTAACTCCACTTGCTGCCCAAGGGCTGAGCTCTTCTATGTTCTTCCTATCAATTTAGCATGTGTGCTTTTGTTTCTGTTGCTAGACACTGTAGTTCAGATACCAGTCTTGTTGCACACCTTAACTAATACAGTTTTGTTCTCCTGTTGTCTCACTCAGCCTGACTTGCTCATAATGGACAGGCTTCTCTAAGTTTTCACCTCTCTCTCTCTCTCTGGAGGGTTATATCTGAATGCATTGGGTCTGTATTTAGTACTGTCCTTTGGACAGGCGAAAGTACATAGTTTGACAGAACAGACGGATGTGGTCAGTTATTTAGAGTGTATCAGGTATTGCTTTTCTGACTAAATTCTTGTTCGTGGAGCATCTCCTGGACTTAGTGCTAGAGCTTCCTAGCAAAGTGTGCTTCACTGGGGAGAATCTACTTGAGATCCAGTTCAGTATGTCCTCAGCACAGTGTCTGCCACCTGGAATGATCTGGGCCCCCCCTCCCTTCCTTTCCTCTCCCTTTCTCCCCTCAATAAGAGGTAGCACCATAGAGCTGTGAGATCAATGCTTGCGGGTAGTAGCTGGCTTCTGGCACCTTCATAAAATACCTCAGCATAGCTTAGCATTGTCGCAGAACTGGTTTTAAACTGAAAAAATCAGAAGAGAAAAACAAACTTTATAAATAGTGGAGATAATTCTAGCTGTAGAGTTTAGTTGAACTGATGTTTATTATGATTGATGAACATGATTATGCTGTATGTATTTGAGATCCTGTTTATAGGTTACAACTTTATAGGGTTGGGTGGGGGTGGGTGGAGGTCGGGGGGAGAGAATGGGGTTGACTGTGTTAGAAGGAAAATGTTGCTCATGAATTTTTTTCCTTGTATCTGTCTTGCCAAAGGAAACATTTTGTCGCTCCTGGGTTTGGGATTGTTGTTTGGTTGGTTTATCTGTGGTCTAATCTGCAGCACAGCACGTGATGGCATGCAGGTTACTGATTGGGTTGCTGTTCAGGGTCCTTTACAGTGCGCACACACTTCCCCTCCTGCCCTGCCTTTCCTTACGAATAATAAGGGCCTTTGCAGGGATCGAAAGGTCAGGCGAAGTGTGTGTACGCTGTGGGGCTGGGGGAGAGATGGATACATTGGGTCAGATTCAACCCAGGTGGCATCCATGTCAGTGAGTGGAGTTGCATCAGGGCTGAATTTGGTCCATTGCATTTAACTTTGGGGAGGGAGGAGAATGGTTGTTGCATCTTAATCTAACTGGGAGAGCAAAAGTGAAACAGGTTCCTTTTATCCCCCTGTCTTGTTACTGAATGTAGGGCTTGTAGTGCTTGAGAATAGGTGGAAGACTTTTTAGACACTTCCTTTTCTAATAGCAATGCTAATCCTGTCTAGACCAAAAACTACAAAAGAAAAACCAAACTGAGAAGTGAAAGCTAACCTGCTCCTAGCGCCTGGCTGGTGTACCTGAAAGGATCGAAATACTGTGAGACAGTCGTCGGGAGGGGATGGGGCGGGGCGGGGGCGGGTTTGTTTGTGGAGGGCTTGGCTGGCTGGGGAGGGGGCAGAGGGTGTTCCTCTTGGTGTTTGGATGGGAGCGCTGGAGAAAGTGGGATTAATTTGGGAGGGGTTCCTAGCCTCTTCCATCCCGACTCCAAGGCATCCCTCCCAGTTTTCCTGAGGTGTATTGGGTAGAGGAAGAGGGGCGCGTGTGTGTGTGTGTGTGTGTGTGTGGTATTTTATCTGGAGAGGTAGATTTCTAGAGGAGCGTGGAGCTCCATTGGGCCAGGAGAATTTCCAATGGCACGGTAGGGAACCAAAGGCACTGATAAGTTGTCAGCTCTGCTGTTTTCAGAGCGGGTAAGAGGAAAAACGCTGGGCCTTTTAGAGCTGTGGGTCTGTATCCCTTTCCGTAAGGATCTCATCTTTGGTGGGTAACCCTGCTTTTTCTGCACACGCTTCTTTTGACTCTGTGAGAATAGACTGCGTGTGAAGATTGTCCAGTGCTGCAGCACCCTGTTTCAAGCTGCTGCAGAGAAATCATCAGGGGAAAAAACATTTTCCCCTCAAATATAGAAGCAGCATGACCAAAATCAGAGTCTGTTGAAACACTTGTGCAGGTGATCTTCCTCTTCTTAAGGTGGGGGAGCCTGGAGAGTCCTTGTTTACTCCCCAAAATAGCTTGATACTTTGTTGTGTATCCTACTATTGGGCTGAGTTGCTTTATCAGTGAACCTGGTGAGCTCTTGTGAAGAAAGGGAGAGGGGGGAAATAGATGAGTTGTCCAGCTACTCTTCCTCCAGAAACCAATCGGATTGCAGAACTTCACTGAAAGCTTTACTAATAGACTTGTTGTTCTGACATGATGTAAAAGTGGTATTAATATTGTGTGACTTTTTTCAAAGAGCTAGTTAGATTTATAGGTAGGTAATAGGGATATTGAAGAAATGACTTCTCAAAGATAAGAGCACTTGGAACAAAAGATGTGGAAAACAAGGTGTGCTTTAAGGAAAACAGATCTGAGGAAGGAAATGAAACAACCCATAGGAAGGGGGAGAAGCTGCTGTCCTTTGGGTTCCTTAGTGCTGCTGAGGGGTCTGCCCCAGGATGGAGCACCCCTTCCGCTGTACTTCACCTCCCTACCAAGCAGGACCTCAAGCAGCTCAGGCCAAAAATACGATTTGCCTTGGAACTGTTCCAATCTGGGGAATGGTTTCCCCTCAAGTTTATGTAAACCGCAAAATGTTTAACTCGCCACTCCGTCCCCCCAGTTTAGCTCCTTTTCTTCCAAATTCTCAGCCTATTCCTGTGGAACCTGCTAAAACTCTGTATTGCCCCTTTTGTAGCAGCAGCGTGTTTTCAAACACTGTTCGTTGCGCTGTGCTGATGTTGTGGGTGGTGCTGGCATGCTATGGTGCTATACAAATCCTAAGTTCTTTAAAAAAAAAAATAAAAATCTTATTTTGGCTCCATCCAAGACCCTGGAGACTGTAGGCCAAGTCATATGCTGTGGAGAGCACACAGGCCCCTTCAGACCTGAGAGCTACTGTACAAATCAAAGTAATCACCTTTGATGGTGTCCTTCCACACAAGGTAGTTTGGATCAAAAATAGGTCCTTCCACATTCTCGTCCTCCCTCTCACTGTGTCGGCATCTGTGAATCCTGGTGCCTTCTTTGCACAAGTGAGTTCACAGGAGAAATGTGACATCTCTTCTCCCAGGGAATTCACAGAGAATACAACAGGGCCCTCGTTTTGAAACGGGGAGAGAAGGGGTCACTGCAGAGTTGCCTGCAGTGGGCTCTGGGTATTGTGAATTAGGGCAAGTTAGATGTGGAAAAGGTGTTCTCCTTTCAGAGAGCATGTGCCAACTGTCTGCCGGAAGGATCAGTGCAGTAGCTTCCCTGTGCCTGCCAATGCTGTTCCATTTCCTTCCTCTCTGGTAGTATCTAAGGCTAGGTGTGAATAGGTGTGGGGTGTTTATCCGCCACAGGTACAGGAGCTGTCGTATACCTCATTTCTAACTCGTAACTGAGTAACTTGCTTTAACTTTCTCCAAACCCTACAGAGTTGCCAAGTCTGCCCTCCCTCCCTTGATTAACGTTGAACTCTGGCCTATAGCATCCCGTGACCTGCAACCTGGGGAGTGACTCCCTAAAGCCTCTGAATGTCGCTGCTTAAAAGCTACTGCAAACCGAGGGCAAATTGCAATCTTCTACTGTTTCTTTTGCTTACAAGGGGTCCTCTTAATTAGTCTGTGAATAGCCAGCCCCCGCCCCTCCATGTGTGGAACGTCCACACTGCCTGGTTGGTCCCTCCCCGGGAGCCGCCGAGGCTGTGCCAAGCTCCAGGGCAAGGCAGGCCCCGAAGTGCTACTTGCTGGTTTTGCTTTTGTGTTTTGGGGGTTTTTTTTAGTTTAGTTTTGTTTTGTTTTGTTTTCAACATGACCAAAAAGAGAAGACGCTCCAAATCTTTATGTTTGTCTTTATTATTTGACAATCCTGTGTCCCCCAGGCTGACCAGAAGCTGCCCCCTTGATCCCTTCCATCTTACTTTGAATGTAGTTCCCCACCCCCATGGGAGAGAGAAGCTTTGCCAGGTCACGGTGGCTGCTATAAGCCGGGGGGGCGGTTTCTTTGTTTTGTTTTGTTCTTTTAAAAATTTCCAGCCAAAACCAAAGATTTCCTAATGATTGTATAAACTCAAAACAAACAAACAAACCAAAGACAAAGGGGCGTCTTCAGCACCAACCCCATCTGTGAGCCAGCCCTGGTGGGGGGGTCTCGGCAGGCTGCCATCCTGGCAGGACGGACTTCCTGCTTCTGCCCTGTGCCCTGTGGCTGCTTCCCCGGCCAAGTGGGCTCCACCTGTGCCAGGTGACTTCCACCCCACGCATCACCATTTAGCTCTGGAAGACACTTGCTCTTGAAACTGGCCAAAACCCGGGGTGCAGCCGCTGGGGAGAGTGATGCAGCTGATGGGACTCCACAGATTGGTTGAGAAGCTGAAGACTTTGGTGCATGACTGGCTGCTCTGATGGGTGCTTTAACCCTTTGGGGGCTGGGTGATGTTGATTAATACACGCTGAGGTGCACTTCTGAGCTTCCCCCCCTCCCCGTAACTGCTTGGAAGAGGCTGTCCTGTTGTGAGAAATCCCTGAAAGCAGAAGAAAAAGCTTTTCATTTCTCCTCTAGTTCCTTTTTTCTATATATTTCATTTTATTTTTGCAGCACCACTGTGCAACTATGCATTGTATTTCTCAACCTTTTATGCTAGGTAGATGCCTGTGACTTTTTAACTTGGGGGGGGATTGCAAATGGAGGAACTTTTTACATGGATCTTTTTAATCTCAGTTGATTGGGGGGTGTTTGGTTCTAGGGTCATACAAGCTCTATCCCAAAGCAAAATCCAAATGTTAATATTATTAGCCTGATGCAGATACCAAAGATAATTTCTTTCCTGCAGAACCTTAGACTTGTGTATTAAGTACGATTACCCAGCACTTGCATTAGTCTAACCTCAGTAATTCCAAAGCTTAGATGTATATTTTGGTATATTTCTGGGATATTAAAAAATTGTCGTTTAAATTCTTGTTTGTTTCAGTGTAATGCTCTTAAAGTCATAGCATGGAGATAACTGAACTGTCCTATTCTTAGTAGTTTGAAATAATAGTATTTTTGTATGTTTTGGGTGTGTCTATGTATGTATTAACATAACAGTTCTCACTGCCTAGGTGTTCATAATTAAAGAGAGTTTCTACGTGTACATAATATTCCATGACAAACTTCCACCGATTCAGATGGCATTTTCACTGAGCGCCGCACCCAACTAGGGTTCCTTCTTTCTTTTTTAAAGAGACAGCACCCTTGTGTCTTTCTTTGTTTTTTCTCCCTAAAGGCCCACGTTTCCTCTCTATGTAACTGGGTCTTAGAGTGTTTTCCTGCTGTTTAAGGAAGGGGCTGGAAAGGCCCACAATTTATTTAAGAAGAACCTTAAGTGCATGTTAGTTTTTAAACTCTGTTGGTCTCTGGGGAAAACTGGGATTCCTGCTAACTCCAGCCATTGGTTTCCTCTGAGTGATGATCTGTGAATACTGAGTGTCCTGTTGGGAGTCTTGATGCTTGGCTTCTGAAAAATAGACATTGTAGTTCAAGTGTTAACTGCTTGGGTTTGCTTTGCATGACTGTTTGGTTGAGCTGTTTTTCTTTTCTTCCCCTCTTCTCACTTACTTCACTTGTCCCCTCAGGGTCAGTGAGATCCCTGAGCCCAGGGTGGGACTGGGGTACTTGCACCTAAAGAAAAAGCATTTTTCTCTTGTCTCGAGTCTGAAGTGTAAAAGACCCAATGATTCTGAAGCTTAGCTGACGTCTCCTGGAGGAGGATGCTGTCTCTTTAAAGATGCCCTTTATTATTTTTTCCCAGTGGCTGCCTGCAGGTGACTGTAGGCATTGAGAGATTGTGTAGATTACAGTAAATCAGGATGAAATGGTAGATTTTGTGTAGATGCATTTGTCTGCTGTAATTTTTTATATATATTAAACTTACTGTAACTGTACAGTTCATTTCTGTTGTAAACATCATTAAACCATTTTCCAAGTGTTTTAACATGTATGCGCTTGTTTGTGGTTTTTAAATGTGTGTGACTGGTAGGCAGGCAAAACCTCAGAGACGCCCGACTGAGGCAGGGCCCATTCCTTCTCTCTGTTTTGCCAAACAAACTGCAACCCATTCCTGCCTGCTTCTTCTCAGCTCAGAGGTTTTGCTCCCCACCCCTGCACTGTCCTCCAGCCTTTTCTCACTTAAAATAGGGAACAAGACTGGCTGCCAGCTGAGTGTAAAGGTAGACTAGAGTGGATGCAAGTGCTTGCTTTCCAGCACCAGAGAGACCATGCCTCAAAATCAGCCAGCCCAGTTAGACACAATTACACACGTGTGGCTTCCCCACCAGCTTTATTAGCTCGCTGCAGATCCTTTCTGTTGCTGAGCACCAATGCCTTTGTGCTCACCTTGGAAAAGATCCCAAAGAGATTTTTTTTTTTTAATGTACATTTCTTTGGCTTTTCTACATTTCCTTTCCCAGCAAGTAAGTTTTGCTTTGTTTTTATCACGTACAAAATACAGCACTGAAGCATGTCAGCAGAAAAGGTCAAACTGTGGATCTTCAACCAATCTTAAGGCATCCTGTAATTTAATCCCAATTTTCCCAGCATTATCTCATTGCCAAGCGTTACTGGTGTGCAATGTCCCAGCTCGCATCCTAATGAATAGGGATGGTTCACTTAATATGCTGCACCAGTCCTGCTGCAGGAAGAAACCTCTCTGCTAAAGGTTACCTAGCTTTCATTTGTTGTCATCCGTATTCCTGGATACAGCTCATGTGCTGCAGGAGCTCGTCGTGCCGGGTGTTATTTCTTGAGCCCCTGTTGCAGCCAGTGCTGGGCTTTTTCTGACTGAAAAGCAGAGCATGCTTTTAGCATTTGTGTCACACTATAACAACTTGACAGTTTTTTTCCAGTTCTTTGCAGTTAAAGAAACGTAAAGCTGAATTTACAGTGGAAGATAATTTAGCTGGACAGTTGTAGTTACTCTAGTGCAGATCACAGTAGAAACAGTGGCCACAACTATAGTGCCTTCCATGGGAGGACCCCTAAGAGCTTTACACCATAAAGGAGGCTCCACAACACCCCTGTGAGGTAGGTAACATGTTTTGTTTTGGTTTTTTTAAATACTTAGGGAACCTAAGTCTAGTCCGAGGCAGGGGAAGAGCCCAGGAATCCCAGGCTCCAGTCCATAGGTGCCAATTTTGATTTTTGCTGTGAGGGGGCCCAAGATGATGGACATGTGGAAAGTTTTATGCATTTCAGGTGATAGCCGAGGGGGCCCATGGCCCTCGGGGCCCCCACGTACTCTGCTCTTGTCCCTTTCTCTAGCTACAAATACTCGTACAAAATTTAGCCTGTGAAACAACCACTGTCATGGGGAATCGTTTTACAGATCTATACGTTGAAAAGCTGAAGCTTGCTGTTGCAGACTTGGAGGGGGGAAGGGAGAAGGGGAATCTCCAAATGATGGAGTTATTTCCTTGCTGTGTCGTGACTAAAAGGAGTTTCCTGCACTGCGAAAAACTGGCGTTGGCAGAATCATCTTGTTTGGATTCCTGGAGTTTCCCTTCTCTCCTCCCCCAAAGTGTGTGGGCTGGCCTCAGTCTTGCCCATCTGCTGCACAAGTCCCTGTTAGCGGGGAGGCAATGGTTGCATCTGGAGGGCATCATATGTGTCCTTGGTCGCTGTGCTGAGTCCCTGTGACAAGAAGAAAAAAGGCAAAGTGAAGGAGGTAACAGAGTATTCCCTGCCCAGTGTCTTGCTCAAGTAAATTTGGATTTATGTAGCTGCTACAAGAGGATTGTTCATTTTGGCATTTCCTTCGTCATGGTGGAATATTGATGGCCCTTGGTTAGCGAAAAGGGTTAATAGCAACACATGGATGTAGCAATCTGGTATAAACCATCACAGTTTATACCACGGCTCTGGTATAAGCCCTCATAAGTGCTTTGCAAACTCCAGCAGCAGAAGATTGGCCAGCGCTGAGACGTAGCCATTAATCTGGTTATGTCCGCACTGCAGTAAGCAGTATCCATCTAAAGCTGCATCCCATCTCCGTGGACTTCCCTCTCTAATTCTAGAGTTGGAATTTGGACAGGACAGCAGCGTTAAAACACTGGTAACTCAGCCAGGTGTGTGGCTTAATAGCATTGCTCAGGAAAGAGAAGTGTAGGATACTGAATCATTCCATGAGCCCCCTGATATTTTCTCTCCCAGACTGTCCCCTTGCTGTTGCTCAGCCAGGTGGCTTCACTTATTTAACGTGTCCTGGCCTTCTTTGCAGCAAGTGTAAGTGTTTTCACAGAGATGATGATCAGGCAGCGTGCAAGATTCACAGGCAAACAAGGCCCAAAAGGCTCCACCTACAGCCTCCTGACCTAAAGACAGAGAAGTGCTCCTGAAGCCAGTAAGTAAGGCTAAAAGTATGATATGCTGTGCCTACAGGTACAGTTTAAAGCATACCTCTTACTGCTCGATTATGCTACCTACCATCAGCAGGGCCTCGAAACATATCAGGTCTGAACAAAATCAACACACAACTTTTGAGCAGCAGTGGGTCCTGCTTTGATTGTCCACAGTGGTCTGGAGTCAGCTGCTTATGGAGCCTGTGACTAAGGCTGCTCTTGTAGAGCAGGCTACTAAGAGATCCTGTTGGTTGTCAGCTCACTGTAAGACTACCTTGATAAGAAATTAAGGGTGGTGAGCGCACCAGAGGAGGAGAATAGAAGCAGAAGAAGGGACAGAAAAGTGAACACCTCCAACCTCTGCACACAGCACTGCTTAGAAAAGAGGATGTGATTTTCCTCCCCCCACCCAAAAACACCCCCCAAAGTTGAGAACCACTGCTCCAGGCTCTTTGGGAGGGGGTGCAGGGACTTCAGTGACTCAAGCAAGCAGACCAGAGCAATGCCTCTCAAATGGTGTGGGTCACACACCCCTTTTTAAGTCTGTTATACTGCTGTATGAGCCACTGATTCTGTGCTATGGCTAAGAAAAAAAGCAGTGCTTGTTACAGCCATACTACAGAGATTTTTGTTTCTTTCCTTCCCTTTCTATTTCCCCTTTCCTTTCTGCTTCCTGCTTCTTCCTTTCATGCATCCCCTAGAAGTTCATCTATGCACCAGTTTGTAAAACTGGCTTAGACAAGGAGAGCAGTTGCAGTTACCTACCTGGTAAAGACCATCGTTGCCTTTGCCTCGCCGCCTCTGGGGCTTTGGGGAAGAAAAGAAACGGGAGTCCTGGGTTAGTGGATGCTTCCTGCCTAAAGACTTCCTTTCCCCTGCCACAGGTGCTAGAACTGCACCCTATCTCTGCACAAGTAAGTGAGCTGCTGGCCAGGCATCCTCTGTCGAGGCCTCTTGCTCTGGAGCATGCTCCTCTGCCCACCCTAGCCCCCCAAGAGCCCAGTCTGCAACCTGGCAGCACCACTGAAGGACCAGGTATTGCTGTGGCCCATAGTTAAAGAGAGGAGGGGAATGGGACTTTGTGCTAGTTGTGGTGGGGGTTCTGCCTGCTCATTGCGACTTTGCATTCATTTTGTGGGCTGGCATGACAGCCATCCAAGAGGGGTCTGCATGACTCCTCTGTTGAACAGCATCTATGAACTAGGTTTAGCAGCCTGCAGAGGCTCAGCCACTGCCTTTATTTATTAACCAGCTGCCAAGCGCAAAGGAAGCATTTGCAGGCTACTTTGGAAAAGAGAATTCTATTCCAACAGGACTCGGGGCTTGGCTGCCAGAGCCATGCTGATGCAATGTAACTGCACCAGCATAAGACTGCTCAAATTAGCAGCTTCAAAAATACAAGCTGGCCCTATGGCACATGTGCCAATGAAATCAGCATTCACATTGGATTGCTGTCTGTCAGGCCCGTCTACACATGCAAGTAAAGACGCAATAGGACCTCACGTGCGATCCCCACAATCATGCCTCCTGCCATGCCATACATGATTTGCAGGAGGCATGGTTGTGGGGAGATCCCATCACACTTTACCTCCAGTACAGGTGGAGCCTGGGATCACAATCCCAGGTTCCCCCTGCACTGGTTCCTATAGCTGTGTTCCTGCTTGCCTCTGTTGTGAGCCCTACAGCTGACGTGGGCTGTGGGAGTCCCAGCAGGGGCAGTGAGGAGAACGCTGCCACCACTGTGAGCCTCCAGAGCTGCAAGGTTCACAGTGGGGCAGTGTTCGCTCCCTGCAAGCCCCGCAGCTCAGGTTCACAGCACCAGCAGCGTTCTTCCAGCTGCCACTGCTACAAGTCCTGCAGCAGCGTGCGCTGCAGGGCTCACAGCAGGGGCAGTGCATGAAGCGCTGCAGTCACTGCAGGCCCTGCACCTGGAAGCCAGCACCTTTTGTGGAATAACTTTGTAGCTTAGTGCTTATTTTATCATGCCATTAATTTGTTGAACGTGTAACCGGGTCACAGCTTAAGGGGCAATTACCCGGTTAATCACATCCACAATGTAATGTGTCGAGGGGGCCTCAGACTAAGCATCTGACCATCATGTAAGATGTTGGCTTCCAAGTGAGACCCACCATGGTCTGCCATGGGCACAAGGCTGTGTGAACTCCGAGCAAGTCTGGTAAGTAGTGTCAGCCAGAAGAAGGGGAGGAAATCTGAAAGTGTCAGAACATCTTTTTTGCCCTTTTTAAAACAAATCTTGGGCTGTTTTTTATGTAAAAAGTGGTCTAGGTTAAAAAATGGTTAAAGGGTTAAATGACCTGAAAATTGAACAAAGCATTATCTTTGGGGTCAAATAGTTTCTAGGTTTCACAGAAAAAAATCTTTTTGCCAGGGAAAACCAAAAACTCCCAGTGCCACTGGACCAAGCTGGATTGTCACCAGTATTTTTGGTTTGGCCACAAAATCAATTCTCCCCTTTTCCTGCTAGCACTGTGACCCATTCCCTGCTGGGCACCAGCCATTTGTCTGTGCCCAAAGGTGATTTTTGTACTGAGAAATTTCAGAAAAAGCTCTTCAGGTGTCTGAGGAATGGGGAGTGGAGAGAGCGTGAGTTTCATTTTCCTTTTCAAAATAAGTTTAGTCACGCAGTCTTTATAGAGAGCTGTTGTAAAAAAAATGATCGACATTTGAAACTCAACAAGGGCATGGACTTCACCCAGGACCACAAAAACCATTGCTGGTTTCACATGGGAGGGTGGGATATTCACCATTAGAAAGTTGGGTAGCAGGCGTGCACTCTAGCTCTGCAACCTGAGATGCACTTCACAATTTATGTGCCACCTTTAAATATTCCCAGCAGGGAACTACGGCACTCCTTTTCCTTAGACATGGCTTTGTTCCCATGCCCCACTGAGCTTGTAAATCCAACAGGGAAAGAAGAAAATTGGTATAACAGTTTTAAAGAAAAGAATTCTTCAAATGGTAAGTTGAAGCTGATTTGCTGGCACAGAGCTGCCTGTTTTGGCAGCAGGGCCTCAGTGATGGGGCAGTTCTTCTTTCTGTGGTTGAAGAGATGTCCTTTTGTGCTTCAAGGTTGCACTTGTGTTATTCACTGTTTGGAAGCTAGCAGGGTGCATGCTATTGGAAAAAGACAACTGGACCCCAGCTGTAGTTGGGCACGGGGGTTTTGGATGCTGGGAACATGTCTTGCATGAGAGTGTGCTGAGAGCAGGGGCTGTATTGGGCACATGTGTTGGATCGGATGGAAAGTTCTCAGAACCATCTCACCTGCCTTTGGATGGCAAGTACCACTCACCTCTCCCTTCTTCCCAATCTCGCTGTATGCCTCACCCATCTTGTCCTTCTGCAGAGACTGGCACCCAAAGTCAGAGAACAGCATTAGTAGTGCAAGAAGCCAAGCCACCCTCTTGCTAACACCACATACACCATACTGCATCCCCTGAAATCCACTGCTGCTTCTCTCAGTTCCACTCCTAATTGTTTTCCTTTTGCCCTGGCTCAGACTACTGACTCCAGACTGACTACGAAATAGGCTGCATGCGGGTGACCCAGTGAATACAGAGCACAGCTTAATCTGGATGAGCCATCGATTCTACCAACACCTCATCCCTTACCACCAATGGCAGCAACCTCCTCTAGCAAATCCTGGACAGTTTCCACGCCCGTCCCTCTGTTATGCTGTAGTGATCAGCTATGCTGCCTCAGCTCTTGGGCATGTGTGTGGATGGCAGCCAATTTAGAGGGAACTGAAGCTGAAAACAAGGTACAGGGCACAGCTAAGGGCCCAAAAGGCTGGAGAAAAAGGGACCCGTGTAGTAGGCTGGGGATGGAGGCAGGTGGTTATTTTCTGTGGGCCCCAAGAAGGGGCTGCTCGCATGCCCTGCTGTGAATCAAACCTTTAAGAACCCCAGTGGTGCTGTAGGCACTGCTGGGGTTAGCAGAGACTCCTCTGCTGCCAACTCTAGCAGACCTTGCCTACTCCTGGCTGCTGCCTTCAGGTCAGTTAGAGTTAAGAGGTGACAGGGAAGCAGCTTGTTTTAAACGTACAGCTATTGGCGCTGGAGTGCTCTGCTGGGAGCAGATGCACAGAGCAGTGATCCTTCCCACCAGCTGAGGGAAGACCAACTTATTCAGGTCTCATGGCTTGTGTGTTCAGTAGGTAGGTCTGACTGACTTAGGGACAGAGAGATGACAGAGCACATCAGAAACCTGTCTTGCCCTAGCATCGGAACAGCTGCTTCCTTCCCCCTGTAAGAACATAGGAGATGCCATAGTGGGTCACACCCCAGGTCCAATATAAGCCCAGAATCCTTTATTCAACAGTGGCAGAGCTGACGGCAAGGCAAAGGGTGTGTAAGCAGAGCCCAGCCAGGCAGATTTTTCCCCCTGCCACTTTTCCCTTACAGCTTCCAGCATTTAGAGACCTAGAAAGTCCTCATTTGGAGGTTGCAGCTGTAACTATAAGAACCACTGCTGGGCCTATCCTGTGTGTATTTATTTGTATGATCCTCTTTTCAACAGGGTTATAGGTGTCAGCAGCAACATAGCAACACAGAGGGATGCACAGGGGCAGTGGCAATGCACAGTTGCTGCTTCACCGCCAGCACAACTTTAAATCACGACTGTGGTTGCCAGCAGCAGCTGTTTTTTACCTCCTTCCCCCTATCCTCCAAGCCAGTGCCTGGTGCAGCTACCCCCATTGCTCTGCCCTACTTTTGCTACTGACTGCCAACCTCTCTGGTATCTCATGGCAATGAGTTCCACAAGTTAAGTACATACTGTGTAGAAAAGAACTTGCTTTTGTTGGTTTTAAACCTGCTTCCTAATAATTCCTTTGCATGTCCTCCCCTTGTTCTGTCAGCATGAGCCATGCAGCTACTCCTCGCTTAACGTTGTAGTTACATTCTTGAAAAACGCGACTTTAAGCGAAACAATATTAAGCAAATCCAATTATGTCACAGTAGTTACCTACCAGCAGGCAGCGGCCAAACAATGTTATAACTGAACATTGCACGACTTATTAAATGAGTATGTTCTATAATAGATCAGCAACATAATAACAAAACAGTGTTAACCAGGATGATGTTAAGTGAGAAGTACCTGCAGTAAATCCTTATGCGTTTTCTCCTTTCCATTCATTCTTTCCTAGGCCTCTATTCTCTCCCCCTTCTTTTGTTTTTCTCTAAGCTGAAAAATCCTGGCCTACTTGGGCTCTCCACACACACAAGCTTCTCCACGCCTCTGTTCGTCCTGCCTGCCCATCTCTGTACCCTTTCTAGTTCTGCTATGTTCTCTGGGAGACCACAACTGCACCCCCACCTCCATAATGAATCACAGTCCCCCGCTTTCACTCAAGTTGCTCAGAAAGCTTATGACAGACATTGCATTGGCCAAACCCAGCTCAATGAGCCCTATATATGTTTCATTCAGAAAAGTGCATTTGATCTCGCTGTCCAGGGCAGGCTCCTCAAGGACCCTGTCTGTCTTCCTGGAAGCTCCCTGCATCTTCTTGATGAAACTTGATGATCTCTTGGCAATTTCTGTCCATGTCACTGAGCCAATGCAGGGGTGGGAGAGGAGGCTTCCAGCTCACAAGGGAAACTTTGGCCCCATTTGGACTTAAGTGGAATTTCCATTTCCCATGCAAGGAAGTCTGATTTTCAGCTACTCTTCCCCCCTGCCCTGACCCCGGCAGCAACTCCATTTACTCACCGTGTAGAGAGGGTCACGAGGATTCTTTCTTCTTTGCTGTAAAACAAAAGGAAAAGCTGTCTGTGTCAGGTAATCAGCATCTTTTCCCTCCAAGACATGGGGCTGAGTGCTATCATGGTCTATGGCTGTGTATTGGAGACTGTCTGTGCATCCTAGACATGAAGTGTACACCCTTTACTGCCCTTCCCTGCCCACTGATCTCCAGCCTGGAGTGTGTTTGCACGTGGGCTGAAGGGCTGCTGCTGCTCCAGCGGTTTCTTTGTTTGTGCTCATGGAGCCCAGCTCTTCCTCTCTCCATGGGGCTGCTGGCCTCGTAGGCAAGCCCTGAAGTACTCAGAGGTCGTCCCCTCCCTCTTCCTCCCCAGAAGCAATGAGAGCAGTCATTTGGGCTGTTACTTCAATTCGCTGGCACTTGTTTCACAGCATCACATCCAGAGACGCCCACTTGGTCCTTGCCCTGCCCCACATCCGCTGGGTGTCACTTCCCATTCAAAGTAGTTGCAAGCTCTTAAGGGGCAAGTGGAAAAGATCAAAGGGGTAGCTTTCATTCTCTGCATCAAAGCTGCCAGCCATGCTGTGGTTAGGACAGCTCCATCTCCAGCCAAAGGCACCTGATGCTTGGCAGAGAATGAAGGGTGCCAAGTACCCTCTGGAATAAAAGCAGATGCCAGAGAGCATAGACTTACTGCAAAGGGAGACTTGTTAGGCCATCTCTACAGGAAAAGTTTCTGCCATCCTTGCTGTCAGATTGGGGAGGGGAGGAAGGGTAGCAGAAGGGGAAAAATGTTCTGCTGCCTTAACCCATTTACTGTGGAAACAGCTAGAACCAGCAAGTGAGCTTATGCCAGTGCCCCTGGCCAGCAGAAGCAGCTCTGCCATTAATGCAACTTCACCTGCCTCACTATCCACACAAGAGCTGTTGCTGATTCAGCCATTAGTTGCAAGAGAATCCTTCCTTCCCATGTGACATAACTGTGCCAGCAAAGGTTTACTGTAGTCCCACCTAGGTGAGGCCCGGTCAGCCTTGGCAAGGGTTGGACCCATCATTTCCACAGCCAAGTCGGTGTCTAGTCCCCCTTTACGCACATCAGCTCCAGCCACCCAGCAACAGTCTACCAGGGGCTAGAGCCTGCTTGCACTATTTGCATATGACTCCTACAGGGAAGCTGCCTCCTGAGGCTCCATACAACCACTGCACTGGGGACAAGTCGCCACTACGTAGCTGTGCACACCAGATCCTGCTGGTGCATGGCTGGATCTGGCAGCCAGGTGGCTAGATTGGGCCCATGGACTGACCTCACACCACTCATCCAGCCTACGGGGCCAGAAGGTTGGGTGCCACTGGCTCACAGTAACCAACACCAGTGTGAGAGACTCTACGCAGGGAGGACTGAGACCAGCAAGAGGGAGCCCTATGTAAATAGACAGCAGCAGGGTCATATCCCAGGATCTGCTACTTAAACAAGTCGGGACCTTTTGCCTGTGACTTGAGCAAGACAAGGCAAGTCTCTGCTAAGCTGCATGAAGGCTTCTGCCCTTTTAGCCAGCAAGTGGCTCACCAGCAGGCCCCTGCATACACATGTAGGCGAGGCTCATGCCCCCACCAGCCGGTGGCAGAGGACAATAGTGCCACATACAGACAGCTGAGAAGAGGTTAAACACGAAAGGAAGAGAACAAAATGCATGAGGGGAAGTTACCTGATTTTTCCCTCCTAGCTCAGGGTCACCACCTCGCTTAGCCCCCAGAGCATCATATTCATCTCTGCGTGCATGAGACAATTGCTGAAATAATAAGGCAGAATCAGCATTGGAAAAATCAGTTGCTGGCTTAGGGAGAGCAGGGAAGGCAGCACTGATTTGATAGCCTGTGAGAGACAACAGTTAATAGATTAAAAATAATTTTCCTATTTATTTAAGAAAAATAATTTGACAACGCTAACAAAAAACAGCTACCACAATTGTTGATCTGAGACATAAGAGACTGATCTTTTAGCCATAAACCACTGGGTTAAATGACAAGCACTGTTACCCGAAGGAGAGTTACGGCTTTTACCCTTTGCCTGTGATGGTCAGAGGTGTACACACGCAGTCACAGATTTTTTTTCTACAACAATTAGGCTGGCTTTGCAATAGGTAAACAAGGAAACACTCTCTCTGACCTTATTCTTGATGGGGATTTGCCACCTTCAAAAGATGGCAGATCAGAGCATGTGTGTGTATGTACTTTATCAGGACAACATCTGATATGCAAGACATGGGCTACAGAATTTCCTGATCTACCCTCCATAAGAAGGAAAGATTCAAACAACATTGAAAGGATAGCAAAAATAAAAACCGAGAGAGAAATACTTTTCATATGTTGCAGTTAGACTATGGGATTCATCACCACAGGATGTGGTTGAGGTAAAAAAAAAAGAGGGGAGAAAGGGTGTGGGGACCAGATATGTTTAATAAGATTATCCAGAGTTGTTGCACTTAATGATAAAAGGACTATTGGAAGGGATATGAAACATCCTGGCCTCCAACCAGCTTCTAATTATTCAGGGTCTGGAAGGCAGATTCTCATGTGTGCTCACAATGGGGTTTCTTGCAGTGTCTTCTGATGTACATGTTGTGCTCAGTGGGTCTGGGTTCAATTCTGCAATGCCATTCCCCACAGTTCAGGATGTGCACACAGTGAAGTTCATGAACAGAACAATGAACCCATGCTCTTCACAAGCCGGATGAGACTAAGTCCTGTTAGTGACAGAGAAGGGCTGCAATCCTGTAAAGTCAGGGCTACTCCGATCCAGAAATCAAAATTCTGACCCAAGTCAGATCAAAAGTCTGAGGATGGACAAGCGCTATTTCTGGGGTTCAGTGCTGACCTTGCTCAGATCCCCAGCCTCATACTCTCTCTGGCTTCCTCATTCATCCAAGAGGGAAAGATTTCTTAAGGTAATATCTTTTATTGGACCTGCTATGCAGTTGGCAGAGAGTTAGACAAGCTTTTGAATGCAAGACCTGATGAAAAATATTTTGCAATTGAAAGTTTGTCTAACTCTATCCCAACTACACAGTTGGTCCAAGAAAAGATATCACCTTAAGAAATCCTTGCCTCTCGCATAATTTCTGGACCATCCCAGTTACAATACGACTCTTACACTACCATTCATCCAAGACAGTGGTCTCCAACCTTTTTGGGTAGGAGATCAGTTTTTAAATTAAAAAAGCAACCCAAGATCTACCCTGTGCCGCCTCCCCCTACCTCCGCAGGTCAGTCTGTGGGGAGGGGAGGCAGAGGGACAAAAAATTGAGTGCATCTCCCCTCCCCCCACCCCCAGCAGGTAAGTCTGTGGGGGAAGAGGAAGGGAAAGGGAAAGGGAAAGGAAAAGGACGGGGGGGCCCCAGCAGTGAGGGAGGGAGTCAGGCACAGGCAGGAGCAGGGGCTGGGGCTGCAGGGAGTGGGCCTGGCTGAGCCACATGCCCCCGAAGGCCTCCACTTGTTCTCCAGCCCCTGCTCCTGCCTGTACCCCGCTCCCTCCCTCACCGCTGGGGCCTCCATCTGCCCCTCCCCCTCCCATAGCAGCGAGTGAGGGTGGAGCAGGGGCAGGCCTTGCACAGCTGGGGTGGGTGCAGGATGGTGCTGTGAGCAGCTCGTCCGAGTGGCGTGTGCCCCCGGATCTGCACATGGGGTGGGGTGGGGTGGGGTGGTGCCAGGCTCTTCCTGGCATGACTTTGGGCTGGGCGGCAGCAGCACCATCAGGAGCAGGGCTGGGGGGGGTTGTGTTCAGGCACCCAAAAATTCGCTGTAGCCTCCCCAACCCCTCCCAGTGCTGCTGCTGCTCCCCAGCCTGAGAGCTGCGTGCACCTCCCCCCCCATCCCTGGACTCCCGGCTGAGCCGCTTGCGGCTCTGTCCTGCACCTGCCCCAACTGTGCAGGACCTGCCCTTGCTCCATTCCCTCACTCACCATGGTACACGCACTCCTCCCCAACCCTGCTGCAGCAGCCAGAAGCCCATGACTGGGCTGCCTTGTGGACTTACCTCTGCCCCTGTGGCCTCCACCAGGGTCCCCCCCCATCCCTGGACTCCCGGCTGAGCCGCTTGCGGCTCTGTCCTGCACCTGCCCCAACTGTGCAGGACCTGCCCTTGCTCCATTCCCTCACTCACCATGGTACACGCACTCCTCCCCAACCCTGCTGCAGCAGCCAGAAGCCCATGACTGGGCTGCCTTGTGGACTTACCTCTGCCCCTGTGGCCTCCACCAGGGGCATGTGGCCCCTAGGCCTCCACCAGGGTGCATGCAGTGCAGGAACCACCCCACGCCCCTGGATAAGCTGTCCGGGCTCCAACCTCCCCCAGCCCAGCCGAGGCCCCACTCGCCCCTGCCCCACTCCCTCCCTCACTGCAGGGCAGGAGGGTGCATCACCTCATTCACCTGGCCCGACCCCGGTGGCAGGCAGCGCAGCTCAGCCCAGCCATGCATGTTCTGCCCTGGCTGCTCCGCACATGCATCCTGTTGCTCCCAATTGCGGAGCCTCTGACAGTCCATCTCGGTCTAGGGGGCTGAACACATGCGTGCTCAGCCCCCCAGACCGAGATCAACTGTCAGAGGCTCTGCAATCGAGTAGTCAATCGAAATCGACCAGTTGGTAACCACCAATCCAAGACCTTCACCCTCTTGGACTTTTCAGAAGAGGGGGCTGGCTCAGGAACTGTACAGGTCTGGATGCGTCATCTCTGGGAGGGGGCCAGCAGGGACAAACTGCTGCCCTCAGCAAGGTGATCGGGCCAATCACCGTGTCTTAGAAGACCTAGCTGCCAAGAAGCCAGATGTGGGAAGGGAGTTGCACACTCCTCACCCAAAAGCAGAGCAGTAAGAAGGGGCCCTGTAGAGGCAGCAGGTGCTAGGGAATAGGGTGGTGGGAGAGGGCCAGAGTGGCAGGCTAACATGTTGGAATGAGATTTCTACCATTATGGTCAGGGTTCCTGGTTCCACTGGCTGGCGTGAGGTAAAACTCCAACCTCAATGCTGCAGCTAACTGAAGTCAGACACCACTATAGAAGCAAGTCTCCACTGATTGGTTCTGAACTGAAGCAAATGGAGGAGTTATGATGATCTCAAGTCAGTGATCTCTTACCTGAGTAGCAGGTTAAAGCATTGGTAGATGCTTTAACCATGATTTTTTCCTGTAGCTGTTTCATGCTTTCCTGGGTTAATTAAGCAAAGGTGATGCAACGCTCACTCTTTCTTCCCCTTCCCAGGAGCTTACTATACTAGTACCCTGGCACAGTTGGCTGGAAATCAGCTGTGTCGCTGGCCGAGCAGTACTGTGCCACAAAACACGAGCAGTAGTGAGATAAATTGTCAGATGAAAAACGTAGAGACCTATAGCTAAATGATCAGCCAGCGTGAGCTCGTCTTTTTAGCTGAGATTATAAGCCTTAACCAAATTTCCTCGTTTCTGAAAAGGTAAATTAATGCAATTTTAGTCTATCTAGAAGCCCCTTGCTCCAGAGATCATTAGCATCTTGCAATATTAAAAAAATAATCTTAACTTATTAGCAAAAAGTTGTACTATAAAATTTACAGTATAATTTTGTATCTGCAAAATTGTACAAGTAAATACTGTGCAATTACCTGTACAGTAATTGTTACTGTAGTATCCCCATTATAAATTAATTGTTGTAGGCAACTACTAGAGTCACTTTTGGAAGGGGAGCTGCCAGACCTGGTTCCGGACAAACAGAAAATCTATAGCAAATTCCTTTCCCTGTGCATATTTATTTCATTGCTAATAAATATTTTAGGGGAAGTTCTCATTCAACTTAAAACAAAGCATTCTGGATCTCCATCTTCCAGGCCTTAACACACCAGCTTCTGCTCACCCACTCCAGTTGTCCCCCTGAAAACCTGCAGGTGACCTACTCAAGTCCTGTTTAAGTAAAAACTCCCTGGTGTAGAAGTATTGCAGGATCAGGCCCTCTATGGAGAGAAGCCCATGCACCTGATGGTTGTGTCACAGAAAGCAACCTATCCGATCCGTGCACGCATCCAGAGCACGGTTCTAGACAGGACTGAATTCTCAAGAGCTCAGAGGGCACCTCCTGTGCTTCAATGGAGCAAAGCCTTAAACTGGAGATTTCACATCTTCTGGTGGCTTCTTTACCTGGGAGTACAAGAGGTACTCCCAGGCTGAGCTGTTAGCTTGTCTCAGCTGGCAGTCCCACCTCCTTGCACTTGTGATTCCTCATCTGGCTTGCAGGAAAGCCAGCTTGCTCAGAGAGCTGGAGCCAAGGTGGCCTGGCTCAAGTCATACGTTTAAAAAGAGATGTTGTAATCACTTACATTGTACACTTCACCCTGGCCTGGCAGCCCTTGCGATTCAGGGGTTCTGGTGAACTGAAAGAGAGAGAAGGCAGAGTGAGCACACAGTCATGGCATCTCTATGCACGGCTACCCCCACCCTAACTCGCTATGTCAGGGGCTTGCAGCCAAGTAGCCTGCAACACTTCCAGTGCTACCAGGAGTTTTCCATTGCCCCTCTTTGGCTTCTCAAAGGAACAATACAGGTCACAGACCTGCCAATAAAAGATGTCCTTGGCAGGTTGATGGCTGGACAGGCCATTTAACCCAAGAGTCACTGCATTTAACCCAAATCCTACTATTTACAGTCTCATCACTGAACCTTGCCAAATCTGTATTCTTCCACTATTTAAAATGAAATACCACTATAGAGAGAGAGATCAGTTGGGCAATGTTTATTAATATATTTACAAGTTTAAAGCAAATCTGGAAGCCTACCAGTGCCTCTATCATCATCAAAAATGAATTCTAAATATCTATGCACATTGGCATTTGCTTTTTTTTTTTTTTTTAATTATAGAAAAATCAGAGTTATTCCTCCCCACTTCACTCACCAGGGTGTGGGGTGCTGAGCAGCACTGACATGCCAGTGCCCTGCCCCTGACTCCCAACCCACAGCCCCAGCAGTGCCCCTCACTCTTGACCTGCAGCCCCTGCCTGCTCTGCACTAGCTCACTCCCAGCACCAGGACATGGGTCCAGCTGCAGCTGTCCCACCCGCTCTGAGCTTTGTGGCTCTGAGCAGTGCCAGCTGTAGCTGTTTTGATCCCTGTGCCCAGGCCACAGTGATCCCCATGCCGTTCCTGGGGAAGCCCTCAACTGGGGCTCAGGGGCTGGGCTGGGAAGCCCCTTCCCACCTAGGCTGGCCTTCCCCTACACAGGCTGCTGTAGTGGGGCAGGGGGGCTCTAAGCCTGGCTCTGGCATCCTCTCCTAACCGAAGCTATCCTCCACCCCTGACCCCATCTCACTCACTCACTCGCCCCTGCTGCCACCTCCAATCCTCCCCGCAGCCCATTACACACCAAAATGGTTCCTGGAACCAAGAGCCCAGATAGGCTGGGGCTGCATATCACAGCACTGGTTTGGGCATGGGGCAGGGCTGCAGTGTGGCGGTTGCCCCTGCAGCCTCAGCTTCCACCAGCAGGTCCTTTCCCATCCCGTTTGGCAGCTGTGGGGTTTGTGGGTGGAGGTGTGGGTTGGTGGGTGGGCTGTGGGAGGCGTGTGTGTGTGTGGTGGGGGGGCTGCTCAGGAGGGGTGGGTCCCCACGCATGGTGCACAGCCTGCTCTGCAGCAGCAGCTGCAGCCATCACTTCTACTGGCAGAGCCATGACCTGTGCTGCCTGTACGACATGGCACCGCACCAAACCAGCCCACTTGCGTGCACCCTCAGTTAGAACTGAGCCACTTCTGCTGTCACCCACGGCTCCAGCACCCCATGTAGGGGTTGGGTCCTGCCTGCATGGAACCAGCCCACCCCTAAGGCTTGCGGGGCACATGAAGGCAGGACCTGGCCCAACATTAAGGTGCACAGCCCCTGCATGCGGTGCCAGGGACCCGGGTGACAGTAAGAGCAGCCCGGTTCTGGCCCAGGGTACGCACAAGCAGGGCGACCTGGCACAGCACCACGTTGCACAGGTGGCACGGGTCAGATACCAGGATTTCCCAGTATCAAAAATTAGAGCTGCAAATATGCAGCACAGGGAACTTGCTTTTTGTTCCCAGCATGCCTCTTGCAGCATCTCAAACTGCTTTGAGACACTGCAAGAGGCACGTGTGCGCTTGTCTGGACTCACCCTTCCAAGAACGATTTAGGTCAGTATTTTCAAAGGCATATGCCTACAACCTATTTACCTCCCCAACTCTGAACTGGTGCCATGACAACAGGCACATCTGTCTCTCATTTCCTCCTCTCAGACAGCACCTTATCTGCTCCCCCTGGCTTATTGCTATTATGTTATATAAAAGTTTGGCTAACCACACATATTGCAGCAGGTAGAGGACTTTCCAGTTCTTAGGGGTAACAGCCACTTTCAGCACCTCCTGAAAACAATGTGCACACACTGCCATTCTTTAAATCAACCTGCAGAGCTTCCAATGGGATTTAACCTTAGGCTTAGAATAAATTTATCTTATATTAGTTGTCTGCTTTCAAGGAGTTCTGGGTTGGGAACCACCAGCGCCCAGTTCATGCACTCTGTCTCCACATCCAGTTGCACCAGGTTCACAAAATCCTTCTCAGAGGTTCTCCAAGTCCTCCTTAATGATCACTCTCCCTCCCAACAGGTAGGAGGGTCCACAGCTCCCACAGTTAGGCACACTGTGCACCTTGTGAATATGTAGGTGGCTTTCCCCTCTGGCAGGTTCACAAAGGTTTCCAGTCCCAAAGCAGCAGTTTCACCTGCAGTCAGGGTCTATAATGGCAGCATAAAATCTTCTCTTTTTGCCACTGCTGAGTGTCATTCATTCCTTCTAAATTTTCTTTTCTTCTGATTTAGCGTTAGATCTACAACCCTGAGAGATTTGTGGGACACAGCACCTGCAGGGCTAGCTGCCCCTATACTACCTCCTGACACTTAGCCATAACCTGCAGGGATCATGGAGAAGTGAGGCAGACTTCCAGGCTCATTCAGTCCTTGGCTTCTGTGCTGGAGGCTGAGTGCAGCCAGTGCAGACTGTATCCATTATTCAGGAAAAACTGAAAGAGGGAGAACCATCAAAGAGGGACATGGTAGACAGATCCTTGCCCACATCAGAGAGGAAAATAACTTCCTCTTCCTTCTTATGGTGTGGATGTGTATGGTGGGAAGGAATTTGTATTTCTTTGCTTACAAATAGCCTCTTGGGTAGAACTGGACCAACAGCCATGAGATGGTGGTAAGATTCTGTCAGAGCTGCTTATTCCTCTCCTACTGAAACCTATGACCTTGAGGCACATAAGACTCCATACCCTCATCACCAGGCCTTTATTTGACCTCTGGAAATATTTTAACAGATTATAAGCTTGGCATTTCTCCCAAGAAATGTTTCATGGGCTGTTCCTGAATTAGCATTTTTTTATCCCTGTCCTTCTGGATGTAACTGAGAGACATGAGGAGAGCCACGCAAATGATTAGAGGACAGGAGAGCAGGCCTTATGAGGAGAGGCTGAGAGCCATGGAACTCTTCAGCCTGGAAAAGCGCAGGCTCAGGGGTGACTTGGTGGCAGCTTATAAGTACATAAGGGGTGTGCACTGGGAGAACGTCTGTTCACCAGGGCACCTTATGGGAAGACTAGGTCCAATGGTCACAAACTCCTGGAAGACCATTTTGGGCTGGACATAAGGAAAAACTTTACTGTCCGAGTCCCCAGGGCCTGGAACAGACTCCCCACAGAGGTGGTGTAGGTACCTACTCTGGATTCCTTTAAAAAAGGATTTGAATGCCTATCTTGCTGGGATCATTTGACAGGTGAGAGCTAGGCCAGAAAATAAACCTGCACATCCTAAGCTGGGGAAGGAAACAAGGTGTTTTGGGTCTACCATCTCCAATGCAGGTGTTGAATTCTGCAGGCGCCTAAATGTAAGAAATTTCACCATCACTCAGTGTCTCAGCTGGTATCTTTCTGATGCTCCTACCCCTATCTTGTGCTTTCCATGTCCTGATGATGAGATGGTGAGACTTAAAGGGAATATATACAGTTCCTTTTTATCACTCCATCAAGACTGGTAGCTGCAACACTCTGGGTGTCTACACATTCATTAATGCACTGTAGTTACTGCACATTAAGTTTAGTACTTGCATAACCAAGTACTAAATCAATGTGCAGTAACTGGCACCAGCACACGGCTTTTTACTGATCCTAACTGTGCAATAGCCTAATACTACTGCGCAATAACATATTAGCATGGGTTTTGCCCAGCATGCTGCTGTGCAGTGTTATTAGGCTACTGCACAGTTAGCATCTTGTGTAGATGCACTGTCTGTGTATGTGTGTAGGAAGAGAAGGGTTGGTTTATTTTTGAGCTCAGAAAATGAAATATATTCAAAAGGGCTCAAAGCCCTTTCAGAACAAACCTTTCCACAAGAGACATTAGAATCATGCTACCTTGCCTTCTCTCTCTAGCATCAACCCTTGAATACTGGGCTTATTCCTCTCCACCCTGTAGCTCAGTGTTCAACAAACTTCCTATTTGCAATGGTAATCAAGAATGTAAAATCATTCATGCTTTCAAGCCGTGCATCAGTCCAAGGAAACATGCTCCCCCAGATAGCATGCTCCCCCTGAACACATGATAAATAAGCACAAAGTGATCCAAACCTTTGAGGAGAGACAGTGCTGATTAGACTGACCTTAGCTTTCACAAAAAGGGCTGTAATAATGATCGCATAAATGAAGAGAAGCCCATCCAGTACGTAGCACAGGCGTGGGTCTGTCAGTCCCAGGGATGCTGCGTCTGAATAGAAATGCCACACGTTAATAAACAAGGTCACCTATATTACACAGCACATCCTATGCGTGCAATATGGTATTGCTGCCTTCTACTGAATCGAGTACAGTCTTGAACCTGTCTCCCACGTCTCAGAAGAATGTCTTACCCACCATGCTATAGGGTTGCTCTGGGCTGAGTCTCACTATCTCCATCTGAAGCAGTTTTCAGCATGACCAAGAGTATGAAGAAGTGAACACAAGCCAGAGAGACTATTGGCATGATGGTCAAGCCACTTACAGGAGACCCAGGTTCAAGTCTGTGTTCTGAGTCAAGCACGACAGATCTCAGACCTGGTTTCCATGCTGAGCTTTGTGACAAACTGGTCTTTGCTTTACCTAGGAAAACATGTACAGTTTTGAAAACAAAAAAAGTGCAGGACAGGAACACCATCTCCTGTCCTGCTCCCCTCAGAAACACAACAGAAGGTCTGACAGAGAAGCAGTCTTAAGAAATGGGCTGAGAAATTACCAAAGTCATACAATACAATTAGGATGACCAAAATGTACATCCCTCATCCCCATCACACAGCAGGCATCACTATTCTTGGACTCCAGCAGTTGCTATTAGAATCACAACTTCACCTCTCAAGGGGCTAGAGCTCAGCTAGTTGGCTCTGGATCCCAACCCGTTCAGGTCCAAAACTTTCAGCAGATGGAGGTCCAGAACTCTCTCTAAAGAGAAGGTTAGATCATAGTTACTTAAAAAATAGAGGTGTACTTTTTAGGAAGCATTGGAAGAAGTTAATAAAGGTCCCTTGACCTGCAGAATTAGATCAGATTAGCTAGAATAATTAAGGCCTGGGAAACTCATATACAAAGAGAGATTAATCAGCCTGCAATCTGTCCTGTGTGGTTCATAGTTACTGCCATACAAAGATAATGAATAAGTACTGCAGTTTCTATGAACCACACTATTTAATGCACTGCCAGGTGTTGTGCTGTTAGTATGAGGAGTGCGGCACAAGAATCTGCACAGAACAGAAAGTCCCATACACTGATCTTCATTCTGATCCCACATAGACCGTTTACTCTAAGACTAGTTCCTGTTATTATATTTTTGCAAATAATATTAGAGGGTCTTATACTCAAATAGGAAAGAAGTCTTCCTTCTGAAGGAGAAAAATGCCCAGTAACATAGCGGCAACTGATTTTTAGGAACTGTATACATAGGATTTGGGTAAAACATGGACAACCTCAGCATAAACACATCACCATGCAGTTATAAGTTCATGGGGCAGACATGATACAATAATTTGTTTTATGGCATGAGTATTTGTTGCTAATTGTGTTTAACTCAAGAATGTTACAGTGCAGCAATAACTTCATTGTTGTCCATAGTTAAGAATCAGCATTCTTAGGTTTTTACTGCATCTCCCTTGTCTGTTGGCTACCCGAAAATTTCCCTTATATCCCATTTTTATTTACATACAGAGTTTTACACAACCTTTTGTTCCATCTGCTACTAAGCTCCACTGTGTCTGCTTCTCTCCCAAAGACCTGAAAAAGGGTACCATGATGCCTTTTATTGCACCAAATATATGGTTGGGAAAGACTTAGACAAGCTTTTGGGTATCACCACAACAATTCTTGCCATTTGATTCAAAATATTTCACATGCGTAGAAACAAATGTACAAAGGCTAGTTAAGGAAATAAAGAGGTATAAGATCCTGACACTACATTTCTCGAATGTATTTCACAGATATGTCAAACACTTTACAAGGCACAACGCACCTCCTTGTGATGGGGGATTGTACCTATTTACATGCAGGAAAGTAGAGGCAGGCAACACAAGGTCACATGGCAAATCAACAGCAGAGCTAAGACTAGAACTATCATATCCACTTCCTTGACCAGACCACAGTGTGTCTGCAGGCTTAGCCCAAGGCGCATATTCTTTGCAACACAGTGCACTGTTTTGGATGGAGATAGCTGGTCACAGGGCTCCCCAAAAAAGTGACCCGTCTCAAACTCCCTTGGGCTTGGAGGAGAAAGAAACCTGATTCTTCCCCTTAGTACATCAATCCTCTATTTTTGTTTCTTGCTGATTAAACCCCATTTACTGTTGCCATCTCAGGCCACATCAAGTAACTCAACAACTTCTTGCTTCACTGTTAAAATCTAGTATGTTCCTCTAAGTCCCTGCTTCTCCAGTGGAACATGCCTCAACCCAGAAACATTATGCAAGTACTTGAATACCTGGGGCCACACTTGTATATTCAATAAAGCCCAGGGTGCCCATGATGGTGTATACATAACCACCAACTCCTTGGGGTAAACCAAGGGGTGTACTAGTAAGTTAGTTTTAATCTTTATACTGCTAGCATTTTCCAGCTTGCCCAACTAAGTGAATGCCCTACACAATAGTATGTAAGAGGATCCTGATTATAGGACAACCTTCCAGTAATTAGATTCCATATATGAAAAATTTATAAATTTGAGATAATTTTCCAGGTATAGAATCTAATTATTGGAGGTTTGTCTTGAATTTGTTCCCCTCCCACTGCTACAGCAGGGAAAATAAACCTGGGGGATCAAGTGCCCTCTGCCCTCCCAATTTCTTCCCACTGTAACCTCTTCCCCTGCCCTCTTTTATTGCTAGACCCTGTTCTTCCTGAAAACATGGAAGTGAAGGGCAAATTTGAAAACACTGCCATTGAAACAAGCATGTCTATAATAATCTAGTTCATCCAGCATTGATGCATTTTACCTTTTTTTAAACTGCTGCAAGTCTTAGCACAGGCTCTCCATAAACACACATCTAAATCAACTTCACAGTTGGTTTCCATTACTGAACACATGCCGCTTTTGGCAGCGATTTAATGATAAGCAATGTATTTAATGAGGTTTCTTTGTATGTAAATGTAAGATGAGCTGTTTTCCCAATGCTGACTCGGGGTGGGGCGGGAGAATCTCCTTATCTTACATTTGAATAAATATGGTATTATGTAAGTCCCCATCCTCCAAAGGGTTACCTGTGTCTGAGGAAAGAGACTTGAGCTCAGTGGTGGGTATCTTATTGAATATTGCTGCAGAACGCTGGCTAGGCTGTCACACAGGATACATTATAAGACTAAGATTAGAAAAAGCCCATAAATGGCAAAATGGTTCTTGGCATTTGTGTATTAGCTAGAAATAATATGTTTGTCAACTCCTTATATTTGTAATAGGGAAAGTGCCACTCAAAGATGCAAGGCTGGGTAGATTCATTTCAATCAGTATTTTTTTTTTTTTTAGTCAGACTGTCACGGGCAGGTCCACAGTAGGACGGCACAGCAAAGATACAGCTACACGCACACATGGGCTCAGTCCTGCTTGTAGATTCTGACTTGGTTTTACTGCCTTGAAAAATGTGATGCACCCATCTCTGGCAGATCCATAATCATGTGAGCAGCTGATAGTCCTAGAAGTAACCCTATTCCCTCCAGCAGGGCTATGGTCAGCGGTAAAGCTCTTGGAAGTGGAATCACTTTCTGTTCCATAACATGTACACCACCAGGCCCCAGCAATGACATTGCCAATGTTTGTGAGCGTGGGTATGCAGAGCTGGGCTCCAGATCACCGCGGCTGTCAGGCATGGACACTGCACAGCCCAGCTGACTGAACCCCATAAGACAGCAGCTCACAGAGAGCCCTCTCGTGACCCTATTGAAAGCTGCACTTCTGCATTATGCAGCTGGTGGCAAAAGACAAGTCACAGGGGAGAGTCAGGCCTGCTTTGTGTGTGGCATGTGGCCTGCCCTTCGAGCTGTCATGTGACAGGGCTCCACAGACACACTCTATGGGAGACCCATATCTTAAACATAAGTGCACATACACGGTACAGCTTGTGGTAAGTGCGGTCAATGCTAATCATATTAAATATCTATTTTGAAGTATTAAAAGGAAAAAAAAGTGCAAACCCTGTGCAGGCCTCCAAATGACTCCCCAGTTTGCAACTCTGCCTTCAGACTCCCACATCTGTATTGCTGTGATCTTCTGTCAAACATACATTTTTGTCTCTGATAAATTTGCAAAGTGGTAACGCCTTCAACTGTGCAGACGGCAGGCTCCTCCTTATACACGCTTCTTTTAAAAGATGTAATGCAACAAAAATTCTTGGTTTTTTAAGCCAGTGGTTCTCAACCTTTTTAGGTTCAAGACACCCCTAGATAGACTTGAGGCAGTCCTCTGAAAATGCCAGCTCTTCGTTTTCACTCTTTTTTGCCTAAAGAATAATGGAGCAGTTTTTTTGTTGAAAAGAATTTGGAAAAACCTCCGCTACGGGCTTCTATTTGAACTCTCTGGGCTTATCTTGTAAACCTACCAGTGCTAACATTGTGTGGTACCCCAGTTGAAAATCACTGTTTTAAGGTGCAATAAGTTAGCACTGGCTCTTTGTGGATGATAAGGCATCATCACAGCACAGACACCCAGTCCCACCCAAATACAAGGTAATTCTCACACAAACACTTTTACATTAAACCCAGATGCATTCCCTCTCACGAACACATGCACAGAGACTGAACCTTTAAAACAAATGTCAAAGTCTCAAAGATTAACAGGCCTTCATTTACTAAACCCCTCTCTATGAATTTTACCTTAAAATATCACAGGCATCCTCCTTTAATAGTCATTTTTTCCAGTAGTGCCCAAACATGGTCTCTGCTACCCCACTGAACAGAGGATTACATGACTTCCCAGTCCTCGGTTGTTTATAATTCTGCTACTGTGTCCAAGCAGTAAAGTTGCCACCCATTCAGTTTTCATTCAGATGGTCCAGAAATTGGGGAAGGTCTCTGTCCAGAGTGTGGTTGGACACCTGACTCAGATGCCCAGCATCCAAGAATTGGCCTGTCATAACATAGTGACTAGGATACAAGTGGGCTGAATTTACAACAACAGACAGGACTTGGGCTAGGTGTCAGTAATAACAATTGTTTATTTGCATATTAATTTCAGGTGAGGTGTCTAGGAATGGCTTCAGC